GCATGCGAATTTCTCGCTGCCCCTCTGGTTTCAGCCCTACAATGTATCGATTCACTTTCTCTGTCTCATATAGATTGCCGATTTTGTCGCAGATGGCGAGGAAGGATGATGTGTATTCTTGGACAGATCCCATCTGATGCCTTCCGTGCAGCTTCACACACGCGTTCTCGCATGTGGATACATGCTCGAAATGTTGGCAAAGTAGTGCACCCCACTGTTGCCAGGTTAGGCCCTCGACCACACCAAACAGGGACACTCTTGAATCTGAAGACAATCGTATGCTTTCCTCGGGCGGCAACTTTTGGAACGATTGTCCAGGTTTTCCGATGCTCGGGGGCCTTCGTTTCGGCATCCATTGCAACATGCCATTTGGATGCATCAGTGTAGAGCTTGGCAAAATAAATTTCAGTTCAAGCACGACCGGTGAAGATTAAACGACGACAGAGCGATCGAGGATGTAGAGGGCCAATTGTGCAACATGTGGATGTGGGTGGCTGTGCCCTTTGATGTCGTCCTCATCTGTAATTTTGGCTGGCAAGTGGCATACTGTCTCGTTTGATGGGGCATCCGCGTGCATGTGTCGAGGCTCATCTTTGTAGTGATAGACAGATTCGACTGTGGCATTGGGGTTACGTGGATTTGATAGCGGGATGAAGAGTGGTGTTGGCTGCATGCCAGAGTAATCCTTTGGCGTATATTGCCCGAATAGTGGTGGTTCATGTCGTCATGGTTCGGAAGGACCAACGGTTTCACCTGGAACAGTAGGTAAAGATGGTGCAGGTGGGATCTTGGCAGAAGGCGGCTGTGGATAACATTCTTCGGTAGCATCGGCTTCATCCTGGGGGGTGGCAAAGCTCCTTTCACCAATGCAGCATTCTGGTGCATTTGCTTCAGCTTTCCTGTCCCGTTGAAAGTCGTAAAGAAAAAGTTTATCACAAAAGATGCAGTCAAGGGCATACAAAACCTTGTTGCTGTCGTAGTCCATTATGATCCATGTGTGAGCATCTTTTGGTATGCCCAAATGAATGCCCCACTTTGCCTTGTAAGTGAATCTGCCCACTGCGGCACTTGGAGGTCGGCACTATACTAAGCATCCCCACTCAAAGAAGTCTAGTGTCGGGGGGCTGCCCTGTCCATAGAAGATGTGGAGAGAAGTGATGTGGGAGGGCGGTGCATGGCAGCTCGTTTTGCATGATGACAGCTTGTGCCATCCCATTAGTCCAAAATTCAGCTAGCAGGGGTGCTTGAGCGAGTAGGACTCATTCTCCCCACCATTCAGTTCTGCTGATGAGCATAAGGGATAGTCCTACTCTTGGAAGACGTCACTCTCGTATTCCTGTGCGTTGTCTGTGTGGGGTTCCTTTGCTTCAACCCGCTCTGTCTATCCGCCAAGCAAACCCAGAGACTAAAGGCATCGAAGGCCTTGCTTGATCGCCGCTGGTGTTGCTAGCTTCTTCGTTCATAAACAAGATGTCGCTGAGAGAAACATCAAGTTTCGGGTATTGTTGTGCGCTGAGGAAACTCGGAGGTAAATGACTCTTTGGTAGTCCAGCGATTGGACAGATGGTGCAGCCATTCTGTCGAGATGTTGGTCGAAGTTATTGCCCGTTGGGCAAGGATGGTGTGTCTTTGTCGAATACGCTGGCCTTGATTGAGTTGTTTAGGGCTTTGACTGACGGGTGACCAAATCGGTGGTGCCATCGACAACAATGACCTTATTTAAATGTAACGAAACCCCTGTGTCATCCGATTCCAATAGTAAGTTGCCGAGTGCCACTGCAGTTAACTCTTGGTTGCTTGCTATTGTGATGGTGTACCTTTCAGGTTCCAGAAGGACCTTCCAGTTAAGAAGGTAGCAGTGGAGGACGCCGTGTGATGTCCGCAGCAACTGTCGAGGAACCATGTGCGTATCTTGTAGGGTAGTTGTGCTTCATGACATGGGCTTATGGCTTGATGTTGAGGGTGCGTGGTACGGCTTGGCCCTCAGCTTCAGTTTCTTCTTCATCGATCTCCATCGGCTGTGAGGGCTTCTTTGGTCATGGGCGCTGACACTCAGTTAGATACGGCAGAGGCTCAAGTGAGCGACGGTCTCCATCAGGATGGCTCACTTCGCCATGGTGTGCATGGTATCGTATGCCAGCGGTCCAATGTGCGCAAATCATACAGTTGACGAAGGGTCGTGTGTTGTATGCAAGGCGTGATGAGGAAGAGGCAATGGATGGTGGGGAGATGGTACATCGTGGCGCATGGGCAAAGCTTCCAGAGCGACGTGGCTGCACTTTTGTTTAACGATGATCCTTCAGTTTTCGGCAATCATCGATGAAGTGGCCTGGCTTCTTGCAAGATTTGGAGAAGGGCAGCTTGCGATTCTCCCCTTGTCCAACACAGTCATTCTTCTATCCCGCATAAAATCTGAATTTCTCCACTTTTGTCTTGTTGCGCGTGCTGTACAGATTCATGTCTTGCTGTTCAGCAATGGGCGTCGTGAAGAATGCGCTATCTGAGATGGTTCCTTGAGTGTGCAGGATGGCTTTGTATGTGTGCTAGTCAGTCCCAAGGCCAGCGAGGAGCATGGTAACAAAGAGTTCGTTGGGGAAGCTTCTACCGCTCCTAAGGAATAGGTCATGCAAGTTCGGCCTTTTTGTCGGGTAACATCTGAACTGAGTTCTTTTTTTTTGGAGGATTTTACGCTGTGTTACTCTGTCTTGTGCCTGATGAATCCTTCAGAGGGTATCCTACGCATAGCACGCAAGAGCAAGTGAGTTTTTGAAGGGTCGCATGCTGTTTTTCTCTGAAGACGAGAGGTTCTGCACCAGTAGTGTGTATGCCATTAATGAGAGGTGATAGTCATGCCCATTTTCTTTTTGTTTTCCAGTTTCAAGATATTTTATGGAGCCATCCAAGTAGCCCCAGATGCCTGAACATTGTGTTGGCAGCTCAAATTCAAATCACCAAGTAGAGAAGTCCTTCCCGTCAAAGGCGCTTGCCGTCTGTAGCTTCGAGATGGTAAGGAAGTCCGCCACATTGACCACAGCTGTAGCGCATTGAAACGGATTTTTGATGTACAGCTAATGTTGTTGCTATTGCTGTCCAAGTGCAGGGCTACCATGGAAGGTGAAGGAGCTCGCGGACTCTCGTCCGATAGTTGGCGGCATAGCAAGTGCAGCACGTGCGTAGTTAGAGTTGTCCAGGCTCATTGTGTTGCCAATAGGAGTAGGCTTGGGTACTCTCGAGGTATCTCCTTGCTCATGTTGTCCTCCCATTCCCATTAATGCACCACAATTAGCTATAATCACTTCCAATCCTAAGGTAAACAAAATAGTGAAATGGACATAAGGCCCCTTGCCAGACATGGAGAAAATAGATTTTATGTTGTATCAAAGATGCTTGTAATGAGATGAAGAGGAGGAGCCTAAGGAGGGAGTTGTGGGTTCCGGTGAATTCCACTTGCTCATAACACCATGTAGAAGTAGTGCCCCCGTATTAGGAATTACCCAAGGACTAGGATACTATGGAACCGGGGAGAGTTTTGTTAACTTAGGAAATCTAGGAGGTAGGAAAGGCTGCCATGGAAATGGCGTCGGGGTTTAGCTAGGAGGTAGGCGAGAGTGTCGAGAGAAAAGGGGAACTAGAAAGGAAGAGAGAGGCATACAAGGAGGGGGGTTGTACCCTCTACAGTACAGTTTGATAACCTACCAAGCCTACCAATCACATAACAAAATATATAATTTAACAAGTTTAACTCAGCGGAGGAGTTGGGATCCTTGTACTGTAAGAACAGTATATTAGATAAGGATAATACAAAGATCAGTGCAACAAGTATAAATACCCTGAGAGGTGCTTAATCTGAAGTAACCTCTTATAGAAACCTCGGGCAAAGCCTCTTTGTGTAACCTCAGTGTCGTAACTTCTCGATGCAACCTCTCGCTGCATTTTTCAAACGTTGACTTTGGTGGTTGCTGCCACCTGCTCACGTCCTCTGTATAAGGTAACGTGGTACATTGGATGTGCGCCTACTCGATAAGAGTTAACGCGCTACTTAGGCGGGAAAAGGCACAGGAATGCTCTTAGGGTTTCTTCAAACGACCGTCAACTGTTATAAAATACGAAACTAATAATCCTCTAGGAATAGGGATGCAAGCATACAAGACTTGCTCCACAGGGTCACCTCCGAGGGTCCTTGGTTGCCTGGGTAAAACCAGCCCCTATCCAAGGGTCCGTGTTTATAGAGAGCAAGCCAAATATAGCCTTCTTCAAAATTCACTAGAGTCGTTCCTCCAGCACGGCTGCAGTGGGTTGATAATGACTTGGTGTGTGTGAAGCAATCCCCTCACGTTAATACGATGATAGGGAAGTTTCATTCATAAAATGATAACTTACAAATGAAACACACACGCATATTTAATCTAACTGCCTACCAAATGCAAAAGCAAGCAGCCCACCAATCAGTTCAAGTGTTGTGACACAAGATCGTTGCCACAACAAACCATGCTCTCCCACAATTTCACCTGCGAAATCCGTGTGTTTCACCTACACATAACACCTGCAGGTTGCACAATGTTCACTCCAAAACACTCCAATGTGGAGCTTCCTTGTGGGGTGTCTTGAGTCGACTCAAAACATGCCGCCCGTCATTGGATGTGGTACGTTTTTCTCGAGTGTGGAGCTTCCTTGTGGGGTGTCTTGAGTCGACTCAAAACAGGCCGCCCGTCATTGGATGTGGTACGTTTTTCGAGTGTGGAGCTTCCTTGACTTTTGAGTCGACTCAAAAGTCCCTCGCGGGCTGTCTTCTGCCGCTTGTCATTGGATGCGGTACGTTTTTCGAGTGTGGAGCTTCCTTGTGGGGTGTCTCCTGGTACTACGCTATTGGAAGAAGCTGACGTGCTTTTAATAACTATTAACTCTTTCCCAGATGACTTGTTATCATTTGGTCCGTACAATCCTCCTGTTCCCGCAATTTCTTCCAGAGTCTCATTTTCAGCAGTGATCACGTGTACAAGCTCACACGCTCGTCACACTCTCAGGTACGCCTGGAAAACTCTCTTTTTGCCTTAGCAACAACTTTATATTCTCTCTTCCCTGCTCCCTCGTTTTGGGGCGGTTCCTCTCTTTAATCCTTCCATTTTTACGTTATTTAATAACATTTTCCATATTCCCGCTGTTACATAAATCCTTCATTTTCAGGCTATTTTCACTGAACATGCATTTCGCCTCCATCACTCTCCAGGTGCAGCAGCGAGTGGTGGAGGCGGCGTTGCGTCTGGCCAACCAATCGCAGCACGCCATGTCAGCAGTCGAGAAGCTGGATCTGCTCCACCCATTGGTCCAGCAGCTGCAAGGGGTGGCAGGGGAGGGAGAAATTGGAGCAGAAGGGGGAGGTGATACTGGTGCGGGTAGATCTGGGGGAGGTGCAAATGAGGATGGAGGGGACGCTCTGGCTGCACTAGCAGCATGTGAACTCATATCAGAGGTAGTGTTCCTAGCTCGCCATATTTTTTCCAGGTCGTGCATGTTAAACCCCTGTGGTTCTGTTTCCTTCCTGGTTTCCACCTTTTCGTAATCAACGTTTGCAAGCAGCAAGGGGTGAATAAGATGCATTTCGCTTTCACTGAATCTCCCATACATGGAGGTTTGCAAACAGCAGTTTCCCATGTGCACAGCATAGGAAGGGGCGCAACTGCTTGAGCCCTACAGTGACGAAATTCACAGGGGCCCTTGTTTGATCTACAGCAAGCGCTCTCCTTGCTTTCCCTTCCCCGTGTATTGCATTCCTGCCCTTCCCACAGTTTGTGTTTTCGAGCCGACTCAAAAGCCTTACGCATGCATTGCATTCTTGAAATTTCCCGCCCAGTTTGTGAACAGCAGCGTGGGGGCGCAACTGCTTGAACCCCGCATTGATGAGATTCACAGCGCACTCATCCAGATCTGCAGTAAGGCATCCACGGCAGCAACACCACCACCAGCAGCAGCAGCAGCAGCACATCTGGGGCTTGATCTGCTCTTACCGGCTGCGCTCAAGTGCGCTTTGCGCCTCACCTCTCCTGCAACACCCGGAGTCATGGCACCCCTCACCTTGATCCGTACGTTCTGCTCACCTTTCTTTCTCCTCTGTACAGTTCTCTTGGATTCCGCCAGTCGGCTGCACTGACATGAGCTGCTCGCCTCACCTCTCTTGCAACACCCGGAGTCATGGCTCCCTCACCCTGATCCGTGCGCTTCTCCCCTTACTTTTTTGTGCATGCTTCTGCAGAATTTCGTTACTCTCTCGTGCGGTTAACATTGGTTGACAGTGTTGTGCTCCTTGCCTCGCATCGTCTCCAACGCAGAGAACCAATGTTGCTCCCGGCGATGGCATCAATGTCCGGCCGGGATTTTGTTGCTTCTCTGACCCTCAAATTTGCCCCCGGCCCATCCCCTCTTCCCCTTCCCCCCTCCCCCTCTTCCCCTTCCACCCTCCCCCTCTCCCCCTCCCCCCCTTCCTTTTACCGTTCTCCAGAGGCGGATGAGGTGGCAGCGCTGTTCAATAGCATCTGTGAGGCGTGGGAGCGCAGTGAGGAGCACGTACCAGTGGAAATGGCGGAGGGGTACTTTGATGCGCTGACCACCTATGCACGCTGTGAGTGCTCACACCCGGATGGTTGGTGGCTGGCAGTCTCCATTCGTGGCTGCAGCCCAGTCAAATAGCATCTGTGAGGTGTGGGAGCGCAGTGAGGAGCATGTACCAGTGGAAATGATAGAGGGGTATTTTGATGCTCGGACAACCTACGCATGCTGTGAGTCATGCTCCTCTGTGTGCAAAAAAAGGTTGTAGTGTATGGGGTTGTGGCTTAATCAACATGTACCTGTTATGACTGTTGAGAGATACTTTGGTTTGACGTTTTCACCAGTATGTACCGGTTAATACTTTGACTATGTCGTTGTTCAAATTCGTAGAAACTTCTTCTCAACTCCACCTCCCTTCTCCCACTCCCCACCCCCCACCCACACGGATTTTTGTACAGCCACCCACGGCTCTCGTCTGCTGCTGCATCCCCGTCGCCACGTCATCACCTTTGTGCTCAAACATGCGTTTGGGGGCAGTGGGCCCCACCCCTCCCTGCACACTGTAAGGGCTTCCCGTCCTTCTCTCTCCTCCAGTGCTCCCTTTAGTATTCATGGTGAGCGCTGCTCCATCCTTGACGCCACGTCATCACCTTTTTTTGAAAGGATTCATTTGCGGGCAGTGGGCCCCACCCCTCTCTGGACACTGTAAGTGTTCGTCGCCCCTTCCTGCCGTGTCGTCACTTTCGTAGTCAAGCATGCGTTTGGGGACAGTGGGCCCCACCCCTCCCTGCCCATGGTGAGTCCGCCCGGCACTCCTCTCCAGTGCGCTATGATTCCACCCTAAGATTTCACCCTAAGACTCAACCCTACAATTACACACCCATGTTTCCCTCTCCAGGCTTCCTTGCACTCTGTCTGCATTGGCTTCCGTCTTTGGAGCAGACAGAGTGGAGGGCAGTGAGCCAGTGCGCATGGTGCCATCTCCCTTTCCCCCCTCCCCCTCCCCCCCCGCCCCCGCTCTTCCAGGCCCCTCTACACGCGCTCGCATCGATTTTTGGAGCAGAAAGAGTGGAGGGCAGTGTGCCAGTGCGCATGGTGTCAGTCCATGCCATGCTCTGGGGAAGGAGTTGTATTCACCCCATGTTTCCAGCCCCATGCTTTCCTATCCAGGCGTCCTTGCATGCATTGGCTTCCGTCTTTGGAGCAGACAGAGTGGAGGGTAGCGAGCCAGTGCAGATGGTGCCGGTGCATGGCACCCACTCGGGAATCAGCGGGGTGGATGAGGGAAAGGATCCAGAGGGGGGTGGGGGGGGTGGCATGGGTGTGGATTTGGAGGTGGGGGGGGACGGGGAGTCGAAGTTGAAAGAGGAGACGTTTGCCGCTGCTGCTAAAGCGCCGGGAGGACCCACCCTGGCGGTGAGTGTTGGAAAGATGTCTGCTGATTAGTCCTTTGTATTAGATAGAAGCAGGGTACAGGCATGGCAAGGGTGTGCAATGAGTCCATTTTTTAGTCGACTAAAAAATAGACTCATTACACAAAATTGGTCCTTTGTATTAGATAGAAGCGGGGTACAGGTATGGCAAGGGAACTCGCATACAGGTGCGGATGGTCAGTTCCCCTAACCCCCACTTTATCTTGGGGTGGCATGGGTGCGGATGTGGGGGATGACGGGGAGGCGGAGCTTAAAGAAGAGACGTTTGCCGCTGCGGCTAAAGCACCGGGAGGACCCGCTCTCGCGGTGAGTGAAAGCATCTTTAGTGGTCGTTGCTGTGAAGGCTTATCCTCTTAGTGAGACTTATCCTTGTAGTTCCTGCTACAGCAACAGGAGGACCCACTCTGGCGGTCTTTAGTGCCAGTAGGCCGTCTTTAGTGGTTCGCTCGTGGAGATTTCATCCTGGTCCCACATGCCAAAGCGCCCGAAGCCTTAGCCTTTTCCGACTAGTGAAGCTAAAGAACCAGGAGGATCCTCTTTGGGTGTGCGACATTTGCAGTTTCAACTACAACTAGTAACTGTTAAAGCGCTTTGATTGATTTCTCAGAGTCCTGCTTTATGTTGTGCTGTGTACCTGGCAGGGCGTGTTTGTCTCTCTGCTCAAGCGATCCGAGGAAATTCGCATTGTTGTGAGTGCTGCTCTTGCTGTTTAAACACCCATTCACACAGAGGAATACCCCCCCCCCACCCACACACACACACACACACACACACACACACACACACAAATACGCACATGCACACACACGCACATACACTCACACTCGTGCACGCATGCACACACACCGCTGGCAACGGTGGGGGTGAGGGAATGGTGGGGGCGAGGGAATGGTGGGGGCGAGGGAATGGTAGGGGCGAGGGAATGGTGGGGGCGAGGGAATGGACAACAGTTCAGCCTGTTTGGAATTTGCCTGTAATCTCCCTTTTGCATGGGAATTTTGCACATTGCAATGCAAGTGACTGAGTTTGGCGGCTTAGGTGTGGTCCACTATGCCCCTCCCAAGCCATCTTAGACAATTCCAGCGGTGGTAGTTTCTGCTGCTCCCTGTGCTGCTCCTTGTGCTGCTCCCTGTGCTGCTCCTTGTGCTGCTCCCGGAGCCGCACCTTGTTCAGCTCAATGTCAGGTGAGACTTTCTCACTGCCGGTTCCAACTCCCTCATTCCAGGTTGTACCGCATGCTTGCAGCGGTGGAGAGGGAGTGAGCGACAGTGGAGTGCCTGCGATGGTGCTTTAATCCCGTGCCCCCCTTTTCCCTGGATAGGTGCATCGCCTCTGAGTAGTGGTGGCGGAGAGCAGGACTGCTACGCCAACCGGCTACTCTCCCTCTCCCTGTCCTTCCCTGCAGGTGTATCGCCTGCTGGCAGTGGTGGTGGAGAGGGAGTGGGCGGCAGTGGAGCTGTGTGGTGATTGGACGCTGGTGCAGCTGGTGACAGACGCACAGGCAGAGAGGCACAAGACAGGTGAGGGCTCAAAATCGGAGTACTGCAGTCGGTGAGGGTTCATATGTGAGGCAGCACTGGTGACAGATTTCAGAATTTGTGGTGATTGGATTCTGGTTTTTATGGTGGCAGGTTGACAGGGACAGGAGAGCTGATTTTCCCACCCCTCGCTACTCCCCCCCTTGCCATGTGGCAGCCATGGATTGGAGGCACTCGTGCTGTGTGGCCATGGCAACAGCGGCAGAGGCACAACATGCGTCCATCTCGTTCAACTGCTCGGCTCAGGTCAGCGTTGCCCCCTACAATAGCCCCATGTTGTATAGTTAACCATGTTATTCGCCCAACTGCGCAGGTCAGTCCCCCCGACAGGTTTTGTGGTGGGATGAGTGCAGCGTGCAGCTAACCGGAGCAGTGTGCAAGGGACCGTACAGTCTTTTGCTCTTTACACATTTTCTCTCCCTCCTTCCATTACACCAGCTAGCCGAAGCAGTGCGCAGGGGACCTTACTTGACGCCTCCCTATTCTCTCTAGCTGTCCAATCCTCCCCCCCCTCCATCCCCCCCTTCCCTCTCCTCCAACCTTTCAACCCAACCCCCTCCCATCACACCAGCTAGCCGAAGCGGTGCGCAGGGGACCTTACCTGACGCCACGGGAGATAGAACCGCGCCCCATTGTTGTTACTGATGAGAGACCGCCCACGGGGTTTTGATCGCACTTGAGGTTCCATAGGTTTATTGGGATTCTCGAGTGCAACCCGAGTTTCTTTGTTTGGCCTGACTAAGGGGAACTCGTCCTACTGGTGATGGATTGCATGTGGTTATGGCTATGCCCACTAGAGTCTTGGGATCTGTCCTTCTTTGGCCACACTGCATTTGTACATATTGCAAGTCTATGTGGATTGTTCCAAGTACATGGTTTTGCAACACAAGTTTTACCACGAAACCGTTTCGACCTGCGCGTGTACAGTGAGAAAATGAGGAAACATATGTTTTCTTGTAGGAGCCGTTTGCCTTAAAATGGCAAGGCATGAGGGTTAGGAGAATGTTGCTGACGAGATACTAAATGACATATTAAAACTATGATAGATAGCTATAAATTGTAGTCATTCATTAGAGTGCCCCTATATTTCCGCGCCACCGACATTGGTTCGGCACAGAGCCTGGTGCTGTACTCGTCATTTTCGAGGCTGCACTGTCGAGTGACATGAATGGCCAACACAACGAATGGATCGATGTACACTATTATTCCAGTACACTGTCTATTTATTATATGCCACATGTTCAGTTACAAGCCTACTCGTTCAAACTCATGGTTAACGGCCCAACCTACAGAGTCCCAAATATACCACATTTGATACAGAGACGTCCAAACGTGCAGACGGAACGTTCGCAGACCTCGCACTGCTGCCCGAGAAACGCAAAAGAAACAACAATGGTTACCCGCTTTACACAAGAAAATGCCAATTAAGTAACCAGACTACCCTATTGGCCGTGAAAGTTGTGTTCAACTTTGGAGCACCCTGCAATGGACTTCATGTGTACGAACTAATTCGCCGAGTTGCGAACACGAACGAAATCGCGGAGTTGCAAGGTGGCCTGTCGCAGAGCTGTTGGTGGGCTACTTGCCAGGACTGAGGTCAGAGGTGGGGGGTGCTGCCGAACGTGTTTACCGAACTGTGCAGTACAGGTTCTCCTCCAAACTGGGAAATTGGGAATTCCATTCCAGGCTTCTGCCAGTACAAATTAGGGTTTCGTTACTTCTGGTTAGTCCGTTGGGGAACTGCTGCCCGGACACCTGAGACTGCTGAGACGGCCGATTTCTCCTTATCATTTGCTCCTTCAAGTTGCACGCGTAGGCCGAGGAGTCTTGATCATCCGCAGCGATGGGAGGGCTGTGCATCCGGCTGTAGTGACATGGACCGTAATGTCAGCTCGCTGATAGGCAAAATAGCTGGTTGAACTACACAGAAGGCTCCAGGATTCTCTCCGCCGTTCACTTGAGAAGCTAGTGATGGCCCTGGTCGAGGATTCCAGTACGCACCGTCCGCGAAAGCTGCTCCTACCGTTGGCTATTCTATGGGTAGCTCTCGCGTTATCCCTTCTAGGGCTACCAGCCATTACGACAGCGGATTCCCGTGCTCCTATCGCCTCGTCGTCGGAAGCATCTTCATCAGCAATCGTTTCTCCAGCAGTCGATAACGCAGCAGCGGCGGCGGTGGCGGGGAATGGCGGGAAGCAGGTCATCAAAGTGGCTTGCCTTGTGCCGCTGGAGCTCGCTTTCGGCCAGGCCATCTTCAAGGGTGAGAACCTGTCTGTTTCGTCAGCAGTCGCTTTCACAGGAGTCGCTACTTCAACATTCGATAACGCAGCAGCAGCAGCAGCGGCTGCGGCGGTGGCGGCGGCGGGGAATGGCGGGGAATGGCGGGAAGCAGGTCATCAAAGTGGCGTGCCTCGTGCCGCTCGAGGTCCCTTTCGGCCAGGCGGTTTTCAAAGGTGAGAGATTTCGAATCACTCGCCACTGTAGCAGCAAATTCCGAGGGGAATGGGTGGGGGAAATACGGCGTGCCTCGTGCTGCTGGAGGTCCCTTTCGGCCAGGCCATATTTAAAGGTGAGAATTTCAGCAGCATTCGCCACTGTAGCAGCTAATGCCGAGTGGAAAGGGAGGAGGTAGGTGACTGAGAAGCACCCTCTCACACCCCCTCGTCTATCTCAAGCATCCCGCTTTTTTCAACACATTCTCGTTTTCTCCTCCCTCTTTCCACCCCTTTGCCACCCTGTACACGTGTAGCTGTGCGATTGGCCGAGGCCCAGATCAACGCCGACGACCAGCTGCTGCCAGACTACTCCGTTCAAGTCGTGCCGGTCAACACAAGCCTCTCCACCACCCAGGCTGCAGCGGCAGGTAACGCTGCTGAGCTTCTGTGTGGTTTATATGGTATATTTCGGCTGAGCTCAGGTCCAACGACGACCTGCTGCCAGACTACTCCGTTCAAGTCGTGCCGTTCAACAACACTAGCCTCTCCACCACGTAGGCTGCAGCGGCAGGTAACCCTCTTAAGTCGACGAAGAGGCCGGGAGTTATACTTTCAGTGAGCTCAAATGCGTACGTATGATCGACGTGGACGAGCAGCTGCTGGCGAAATACATAACTGAGGTCGTGGCGGTTAGTACTATTTTTGGGGCTCCAAAAAAATGGTCAGCACTAGCTTTTTTCATCACATTCTCGAGTTGTTGTGTTGTTCTGGAAATACAATGAGGCATTTTTGCTCTCTTTCTCTCTATCTTCCTCCTTCCGCAGTGGTGCAGACGATGCTGACAGAAAGGGTGGTAGCAGCAGTTGGGCCGATGACGTCCTCTCAGGCGCACGTGCTCTCAGCCATCCACACTCAAGTGCAGGTAGGTGTACGTGTCCAGCCAGGTGACTCTTGAGTCGGCTGAAAGGTCGCAATGCTAGCAATACGACTTGTCCACCACTCTCTCATCCCCCTCTCACTTTCTCGTATACCCCCCCCCCCCCCACCCCCAAACCGAACAGGTGCCTACAGTCTCCTACTCTGCCACAGACCCCTCTCTCTCCGCCGCCTCCTACCCGTTCTTTGCCCGCACCATCCGCAGCGACGCCCTCGAGATGCAAGCCATAGCAGGTGAGACGAGACTTGAATCATCTTTTGAGTCGACGCGAAGACCCCTCTCTCTCTTTGCTGCGCCGTGCCCTTTCTTTGCCCGCACCATCCACAGCGACGCCCTCGAGATGCAAGCCATAGCAGGTGAGCCGTGTTACAGATAGGCTGCAATTCGGTTGGCACAACTTTGTGTGTTGGCAATTTGTTGGTTTTAGGGATACGCATATTTCTTAGGTTGGGTGTAGCTATGTTTTCATCCCCAACCTATCCCAACCCAATCCATCCCAAATCGCCACGATTTGGGAGGATTCCCTTGGGATTCCCTCCGATTCTCCCTTATTCCTCTCCGATGCTCGGTACTTACGGATGTATGCTCTTGCTCATTGAATTAATCAAGTTCTCAGTTTCTAACAAGCCGTGAGTCCTCGTCACACCGGGTGAGAGACCCGATTCCTCTCCATAGCAGGTGAGACCTGAGTCCTTCCGTGTCAGGTAGGTAGCTGTGCCTGAGTGGTACTGGTGCTCATGCCCCACACCTCTCATTCTGCTCCCCGACCCACCCATCCCCCCCCCCCCCCACCCCGCCCTCCTCCTCCCCATCCACTCCCCGTATTCCAGACCTGGTGGCGCATTTCAGCTGGCTTGAGGTGATCACCATCTACAGTGACGACGACTATGGCAGGAACGGAGTCAACCAGCTCACCGTGCTGCTCGATAAGGTCAGCCGCCTCGCTACTGTTCCTTTCAATGCTCGTTCTTCTTTGTATCCTTCTTCTTCTGATTCCATTTTGGCCTCAGAGTACTGAAGAAACCTTTTCGAGGGGGCGTTCACAGGAATCGCCACCTGTGGACGCCTCTTCTTCGTTAGCAGGCCCCATCGTCTGCTGAATGAGATTCCTTCTGAGGCGCCTCAAAAGTAGCCACCTGTGGACTCTATTTTTGAGGCGCCTCAAAAGTAGCCACCTGTGGGCGCCCATCACCTGCTGAATGAAACCGGAAACTTCGTTCCCTCCCATCCCCCTCCCATCCCACCTTCCAGGCGTCTTGCGCCGCTAGACACCTCTGCTTTCCGAAATCAAATCACAGTTCCACCTGGTCCCCCAACCACTCCCTCCCGCCCCCTTCCCTTCTCCCTCAGCTGCCCATAGACGTGGTGAAGAGCATCCCCGTGCAGCTGGACGCCCCTCTCTCGCTCTCAGCTCAGACATCCTAGTCCTCCCCACAATCCCAACCATTCCCTCCCTATCCCAGCACCCTCTTCCCCTCCAGCTGTCCATAGCCGTGGTGAAAAGCATCCCCGTGCAGCTGGACGCCTCCCTCTCGCTCTCAGCTCAGACATCCTAGTCCTCCCCGCCATCCCAACCACTCCCTCCCTATCCCAACACCCTCTTCCCCTCCAGCTGTCCATAGACGTGGTGAAGAGCATCCCCGTGCAGCTGGACGCCTCTCGCTCTCAGCTCAGACATCCTAGTCCTCCCCGCAATCCCAACCACTCCCTCCCTATCCCAACACCCTCTTCCCCTCCAGCTTTCCATAGACGTGGTGAAGAGCATCCCCATGCAAATGGACGCCTCCCTCTCGCTCTCAGCTCAGACATTTTAGTCCTCCCTGAAGGAACTAGCTTTGAGGAGAAAGGAATAATTGAGTAGGGAGCCAAGAGGCTCTGTTGTACAAACAAGGAGCAAGGAAGAGGTGAAGGGGAAGCTCTTCCTATTGGCCACAATGTGGACCAATGGGAGAGGTAGCTTGGAGGACAAGCAACCACAAAGTGTGGTGCTCTCCTATTGGGCATAATGTGGACCAATGGGAGAGGTTGCTTGGAAGGCAAGCAACCACAAAGTGTGGTGCTTGGTGATTGGTTGGTTCTTAGGACCAAGGACCATTTGGTTGGAATAGTGCCAACCAAATGTCTAGGACCAAATCCAATCTTGACCAATCCAAATGTGGGGTTGGTCAATCCAACCAACAACCCCCCAATAATTATAATGACCACACCTCCTAATCTAGGCATGCATGTTGTATAGATATATATTTTACAACACTCCCCGCAATCCCAACCACTCCCTCCCTATCCCAACACCCTCTTCCCCTCCAGCTGTCCATAGACGTGGTGAAGCGCATCCCCATGCAGCTGGATGCCTCCCTCTCAGACATCACCATGTGCCGACTCTTTCACCTAGGCTTGAGCAAAACCGGGTAGTTACCCGACCCGACCCGGTTTTGCTATACCCGACTTCGGGTCGGGTATTTTCGGGTCGGGTACGGGTCGGGTAACATGCCTAGGACCAATACCCGGACCCGGGATTTGGGGGCGGGTAATTTAATACCCGCCTGGCGGGTCCGGGTATACCCGACCCGGTTTCCTTGAAAAGCGGGTAGTATTACCTGCGTTTTTCTACCCTGTTGGGCTACTAAGCCTACGACCTAGATGGTGCTTAAAAAACGTGAGCTGCGGGAGGGAGTATGAGGTGCGCCAAATCTTTAACAGTTCTGGTGTGGTGAGTGGGTCGTGAGTGGGGCCTGAGTGGGGAGTTGGTTGGGTTTTCTAGTTGGAATGGGGTTGTGTGCGGTTTCTGGGGGTTTGATTCTTTGACCCCCAGAGTCAATTGGTTGGAACTCCAACCAATGTGGTGCTGTGCGGTTGGCTGGATTCAGGTTGGGTTGCAAATTCGATTGGGGAAATTCGATTGGTTTGACTTCCAACCAATTCCCCCCAATTCAACCACTTTGATTTGAATGCATCTGTATCTACGAAACCCAACCCCTGCCAATCTACAATGCTCTAAGTGACCTAGCAGCTCACGTAACCTAGAGATTTGATGAAATTTCTCTACCAGCGCGACTATGTCGCGCTGGTTCCGTCGGGTAGACCGCTACCCGATTTCGGGTCGGGTACCTGCTACCCGACGCGTCGGGTAGCATTTCGGGTAGCGGGTATTGATACCCGCCCCGGGTAACCCGGACCCGACCCGCCGGGTAATTTTCAGGATTTCCGATACCCAACCCGCCCTAAAAGCGGGTCCGGGTACCGGGTACCCGACCCGGGCGGGTAGTTTGCTCAACCCTACTTTCACCCTCATCCCCTCAACCCGACCCCCTCCCACCCACCGCACCCCTCCCACCGTCCCCTTCCCACCCTCCAGCTGTCCATAGACGTGGTGAAGAGCATCCCCGTGCAGCTCGACGCCTCCCTCTCAGACATCATCGTGCGCCTGCTAGCCGCTCAGAAGCTGGAGTCAACTGTCTTCATTCTCCAGCTGAACCTTGAGCTGATTGTGCCGGTGCTCACAGCTGGTAGGTTATTTTTGGGGGGGGGAAAGGAGAGGGGGGGAGGAAAGGGGTATCAGACATCCTGATTGCGGCTCAGAAGCTGGAGTCCACCATTTTCATTCTCCAGCTGAACCTTGAGCTGATCGTGCTGGTAGGTTGAGTGCTGGTATGCTGGCCGCTGGTACGTTCCATGGCTTATGTTCCCAATCCTGACTGCTTGCCCCTCAGAAGCTGGAGTCTACTGTGCTAATCCTCCAGCTGAGCCTGGAAAAGATTGGCATCGTTTGAGCCCCTTCCTCCCTCCCTCCCTCCTTCGTCTTCCACGGTGAGGTGACGCATCTGAGGTGGGTATGATGTCGTCTGGCTACTTGTGAGTGCATTGGATCGCCACAGGGGTCCACACAGGGGTCATGGTAAAGCCGGAGAACGCTATTGCCTTTGAGCTCTCCCCGCCCATTCGTATCCCCCCTGGTTCTCTCCCCCGCCCCGCCCCGCCCGCACCATCCCTTTCCCTAGCGTCTGAGGTGGGTATGATGGCCAGAGGCTACGCGTGGATCGCCACTGAGGGGTGGTGTCTGAGTGGGAGACCCTGCCATAGCTCACACACACGGGGTGGTGTCTGAGTGGGAGAAGTGTGGTGATCACCACGAAGGCGGTGGTGGCGGAACTGGAGAACCTGCCTGCCAAAGCTCTCCACGGAGGGGGGTCATGCGTCGTTGTTGCCTTCCTATTCTCCCCATACCCTGTTTCCCTCTCCCGCACATCAGCGTCTGATCTGAGGTGGGCTTCATGACGCCTGGATATGTGTGGATCGCCACAGAAGGCGTGGTGGCGGAGCTGGAGAACCTGCCAGAGCTCTCCACAGAGGGGGGCGTCTTCCTTCCTCCTTCCCCCTGCTCTCCACTCCATGCCACCCCACATGCCCCTGCCTTCCCCCCCTCTCACTCAAAATAGCGTCTGAGGTGGGCATGATGGCCCCTGGGTACGTGTGGATCGTCACCGAGGGGGTGATGGCTGAGCGGGAGACCCTGCCAGAGCTCTTCACTGAAGGCTTTGTGCTCCATTGTTGCCCCTGTTCTCCCCGTACCCTGTCTGTTTCCTGCTCCCTCCCACCAGCGTCGGAGGTGGGCATGATGACCCCCGGATATGTGTGGATCGCCACCGAAGGAGTGGTGTCGGAGCTGGAGAACCTACCAGAGCTCTCCACGGAGGGGGTCATTGGGACGCGCGTCTTCGTGCCGCCCAACGCGCAGCTGTCAGAGTTCGAGCGGGCGTGGCAGGCGGATGGGGACGGGAATGCAACGGCTGGTGCTGCAGCATCGTTCCAAGAGGTGAGGGCGAGACGAGCTCTTCACCGAGGGGTGCATTGGGATGCGGGTGTTTGTGCCTCTGAGCGTGCAGCTGTCGGAGTTTGAGACAGGCGGATGGGGACAGGAATGCGACCGCTGATTCGACATCTTTCCAAGAGGTGAGGGCGAGCTCTCCACAGGGGGGGTCCCTGCCACGCCGCGTATTTGTGCCTCCCAACGCACAGCTGTCGGAGTTTGAGAGGGCGTGGCTGGCGGATGGGGAGGGGAGTACAACGGGTGGTGGAGCAGCATCGTTCCAAGAGGTAAGGGCGAGATTACCCGAGCTGATAGCCACTGATATCCACTGGTGTCCACTGAGGGGATCATTGGGATGTTTTGGTGCCGCCCAACGTGTTTCTGTCGGAATTTGAGGGGGCGTAGCAGGGGGATGGGGAGGGGAAAACAACAAGCGGTGCTGCGGCAACTTTCCAAGAGGTGAGGGGAAGGCGAGGGAAAGGGGAGGGAGAGGTGCAAGGAATATGAGGGGAAGGTGCGAGAGAGAACTGCGACTGGGTGCCTCACCACAGAGAGGGAGCAGTGGCAAGCAGTGGAGAATTTCCTCCAGACCCTTCAGGGGGAATCCTTGAGCGGCCATGGATTCCCTCTTTTGAGTCAACTCAAGAGCACGGATTCCCTCTTTTGTCTCTCTCCCCCCCCCTGCAGACCACACTACGCCCTCTTCGCCCACAACTCTCTCTCCCTCCTCGCATACAGCACCGGCTCCCTCCAACTATTCCCCCCGCCCCCCCTCTCTCTCCCCTCCTTTCTCTCCCCCTTCTCCCCCCCTGCAGACCACCCTCTACGCCCTCTTCGCCCATGACTCCCTCTTCCTCATCACACACAAGTTCAGCTCCGTCCTCCTGTTTCTAATCAGCTCTCACATTCCTTCAATCCCCCCCCCCCCCCCCCCCCCCTCTCTTTTCCCCCTCTTCTGTGTCTCTTCCCTTTCTCCCCCCCTGCAGACCACCCTCTACGCTCTCTTCGCCCATGACTCTCTCTCCCTCATCGCCCACGGCCTCCACTCCGTCCTCTATCCCAACTCCCCCTCCTCCTCCTACTCCTCCCCTTCCCCTCCTCCTCTTCCTGCTAGCAACGCCAGTGCAAGTGCCATGGGTATCGCTGGGATAATGGCAGGGGCAGGAGTGGAAAGTACGAATGCGGGGGTGCAGGGGCTTGAGCAGTGGCAAGCAGTGAGGTTACCAAAGGGAGGAGGTGCTTCTTCCGATCTAGCCAAATTGCAAGAGAATCTCGGTGAGTTGGTTACCGATCCCTGTTCATAGGTCTTCAAGCCTCACTGTCTTTGTATGTACTTCCTATCTGCCTTCTTATCTGCCTTCTTATCTGCCTTCCTATCTGCCTTCCTATCTGCCTTCCTATCTGCCTTCCTATCTGCCTTCCTATCTGCCTTCTTATCTGCTAATGTGTTTTCCTCTGTCTTGGTCTCTCATGCAATATTTCTTTGCGCCCTACTTGTGTGTGCGTGCATATGTGCATTGTGCTTGTCTGCATGTGTGTGCATGTGTCTGCATGTGTGTGCATGTGTCTGCATGTGTGTGCATGTGTCTGCATGTGTGTGGTGCGAGCTCCTTCAGAGGGTGCAAAGCTTATGGATGCCATCGTACGGACGACATTCGATGGGGTCACTGGGAGGTGAGCTGGCTGGTAGGCTGAGCTGAACTGAGCCCTCTCTCATGATCATTGGTTGGGATCATTGATGGGTTCTCCTATGAAGGGTGCAAAGCACGTGGATGCCATCGTATGAACAACATTCGATGGGGTCACTGGGTGGGAGGTGAGCTGATGGCTCCTCCTCGTACTGTTTCCCTCGCTATTCACAATTTCGTTTCCCATCATTCCAGGTTATTGTCACCCTGTCGTTGCGGCTTTGCCATTCCGTACAGAGTGATGTTACGTAGACCAGACCAGGTGATTGCTTTGCTTCGCAACAATGTGCTCCTGTAGTAGTCACCTCAATTCACGCTCCTTACTATCACCTCCATTACTGCGGCCCCTGCCTTACAGATTGTACCAGACCGGTTGAGTATTCGCAACGGCCCACCATTTGACATTGTCAACGCAGTCAACAGCAGTCAATGAAATCGGCAGTGGTCTTCATCGCACTTCCCCTTCTTTTCACCCCCAAATACTGTCACGGTGTCACCCCCCCCTCGTTGACATGACGCCCCCTCACAGTGTGACGCTGGATGAATTGGGCGATCGCAACGGCACGTCCTTCGAGATAGTCAATGCGGTCAACGGCAGGCTGCGGTCCATCGGCTACTGGACCACAGAGAACGGCCTCGCTTCCTCCCTTGATGTGAGTGTGTGCTTGCTATGTGAGGGCAATGGGGGTGCCATCCCATGTGTGTGTTACGTATGATCTGTCCTTCCTTTGAAATAGTCCATTCAGTCAACGACAGAGAACAAATGGCCTTTTTTCTTCCCAACCCCGCCACCCCCCCCCATACAATCACACCAGCCTACAGGGACAAACAAGGATCCCACCCAATCAGTGCTTGCTGGCGTCATCTGGCCCGGCGGGGTCTCCTTCGTGAGTTGCCTGATCTCCAAACCCTGGACCCTAACCCCCCTGGACCTTACACGCTGTACCTCAAACCCTGTACCCTGTTCAATGCTGTTGTATATGTTTCGCACGTTTCTCACCTTCTTACCTTCTTGACCTGTGCGCTCTTGGCTTCTCGGTGAGCTGCACCTGCACAGCTAGTGCACTGGTCCAGAGGTAGTGTATTCGTGAGTTGGTAGTGCATTTGTGAGTTGGTAGTGCATTTGTGAGTTGGTAGTGCATTTGTGAGTTGGTAGTGCATTCGTGAGTTGGTAGTGCATTCGTGAGTTGGTAGTGCATTTGTGAGTTGGTAGTGCATTTGTGAGTTGGTAGTGCATTCGTGAGTTGGTAGTGCATTCGTGAGTTGGTAGTGTATTTGTGAGTTGGTAGTGCATTTGTGAGTTGGTAGTGCATTTGTGAGTTGGTAGTGCATTTGTGAGTTGGTAGTGCATTTGTGAGTTGGTAGTGCATTTGTGAGTTGGTAGTGCGTGTGCAACGGTGCAGAGGTACTGCATTCGTGTGTTGGTAGTGCGTTTGTAAGTTGCATGCAGTCACTCACGCAAACTCCACTTGTTTCTCTTGCCCGCCTTGCCCGGTCTTCCACTCAGCTCCCTCGTGGCTGGTTTCCCCGCGCACACACGCCTTTGAAGATCGCTGTGCCTTTCAAGCAGGTATGCCAACTTACAAGCACCCCATACACATGCACCCGTGATGAGTCTATTTTCGAGGCGCCTCAAGAATATTCTTCCACTCAGCTCCCTCGTGGCTGGTTTCCCCACTCACACACGCCTTGGAAGACCGCTGTGCCTAGTTACAAGCAGGTGAGCCCAGTCACAAGCAGCACGCACACACGAACGAGGCACGCTGCCATGTGCACATGCACACACGAACGAGGCACGCTGCCGTGTGCACACGCACACACGAACGAGGCACGCTGCCATGTGCACACGCACACACGAACGAGGCACGCTGCCATGTGCACACGCACACACGAACGAGGCACGCTGCCATGTGCACACGCACACACGAACGAGGCACGCTGCCATGTGCACACGCACACACGAACGAGGCACGCTGCCATGTGCACACGCACACACGAACGAGGCGCGCTGCCATGTGCACACGCACACACGAACGAGGCCCGCTGCCATGTGCACACGCACACGCATGCACGCGTACGCATTTGAAGGTCGTTGTTCCTTTCAAACAGGTATGCCTAGTTTTTACAAGCACCCCATACACATGCACCCTGCCACACTTGCTGCCACACATGCCTTTGAAGGTCGCAAGCAGGCATGCCTAGTTTCAATTCAATCGCCCACATGCATGCATGCACGGCTGCAGGATTTCACGACATTAGTGCAAACGGCCACCAACGACACCTTCACTGGCGTCTGTGTGTTCTGAGGTCTCTCAAATGCCTCTCTTCTCTCATCCCCTCCTTCCCTCTTACACCTATGCACACACACTTCACCGACCACAGGATTTCATCCAGTTTGTTGTGCAGATAGCCACCAACGACGCCTTCACTTCAGTGGCGTCTGCGTGTTCCGAGGCCTCTCAAATGCCCGCCCTCTCTCTCCCAGTTCGTGCAGATAGCCACCAACGACGTCTTCACTGGCTTCTGTGTGCTCTGAGACCTCTCCACTGCTTCTCTTCTCTCATCCCCTCCCCACTCCCACCAACGCACACACACCTACCTCACCCACAACAGGATTTCGCAGTTGCAGTTAGCCACCAACGACTCCTGCACTGGCTTCTGTGTGTTCCGAGGCCTCTCAAATGCCCGCCCTCTCTCTCCCCCTCCGTCCGTTTCTCACTCCACGTCCTGCCCAGACCATCCTCTCACCCACCACAGGATTTCACACAGTTTGTGCAGATCGCCACCAATGACGCCTGCACTGCACTGGCTTCTGCGTGTTCTGAGACCTCTCAAATGCCTCTCTTCTCTCATCCCCTCCCCACTCTCTTCCCCCCCACCCCCCCCATCCTCTCATCCACCTCAGGATTTCACCCAGCTCGTGCAGATAGCCACCAACAACACCTCCACTGGCTACTGTGTGTTTCGAGATTCTCATATTCTCCTTCCCCCCTCCCCTACCCCCCCCCACCCCCCCCTTCCTCTCACCCACCACAGGATTTCACCCAGTTCGTGCAGATAGCCACCAACGACACCTTCACTGGCTTCTGCGTGGAGTTTTTTCCAATGCCCCCCTCCCCTTCTATCTCTCCCTTCCTCTGTCTCTCCCACCCCCCCCATCCTCTCACCCACCACAGGATTTCACCCAGTTCGTGCAGATAACCACCAACGACACCTTCACTGGCTTCTGCGTGGAGGTCTTTCGAGCTGCAGTGGGGCTGCTGCCCTACACGCTGGACTATGAGTTTGTGCCTTTTGGTGTCGGCAACCTCTCTCTAAGTTATACCGACATGCTCAGGCTAGTCGAAAACAAGGTGGGTGGCGGGTGGGGCTTTCGGCAAGGCTTAGGTTTGGTGAGTGGCAAGGGCTTGGGTTTGGTGAGTGGCAAGGGCATGGGTTGGGTCTTTTGGGCCGCAGTGGGCTTGCTGCTGCCCTACACGCTGGACTATGAGTTTGTGCCCTTTGGTGTCGGCAACCTCTCTCTAAGTTATACCGACATGCTCAGGCTAGTCAAGAATAAGGTGAGTGCGGGGTGGGGCTTCCGGCAAGGCTTGAGTTTGGTGCGTGGCAAGGGCTTGGGTTCGGTGAGTGACAAGGGCTTGGGTTGGCTCTTTTGGGCTGCAGTGGTCTTGCTGCTGCCCTACACGCTGCTGGACTTTGAGTTCGTGCCCTTCGGTCGCGCTGGTTCCGTCGGGTAGACGCGCTACCCGATTTCGGGTCGGGTACCCGTCACCCGAAGTGTCGGGTAACGTTTCGGGTAACGGGTATCGAATACCCGCCCGGGTTACCCGGACCCGACCCGCCAAGTAATATTAGGAAATCCTGAAACCCGACCTGCCCTAAAAGCGGATCCGGGTCCGGGTACCCGACCCGTGCGGGTATTTTGCTCAACCCTACATTCACCCATCCACCCCCCATTCCCCCATCCATCCCCATTCACCCATCCATCCCCATTCATCCATCCACCCCCCATTCCCCCCTCCACCCCGCATTCCCCCCTCCACCCCCCCTTCCCCGCTCCACCCACGTTGTTTTCGACGATCCTGAGCGTGCCGGTATAACTTAGAGAGAGGTTCCCGACACCGAAGGTAGGCATGAGCAAAACTGGGTATTTACCCGACCTGACCCGGTTTTGCTATACCCGACTTCGGGTCGGGTATTTTCGGGTCGGGTACGGGTCGGGTAACATGCCCAGGACTAATACCCGGATCCAGGATTTGGGGGCGGGTAATTTAATACCCGCCTGGCGGGTCTGGGTATACCCGACCCGGTTTCCTTGAAAGCGGGTAGTATTACCAGCGTTTTCCTTCCCCGTTGGGCTAAACCTACGACCTAGAAACGTAAGTTGCGGGAGGGAGTATGAGGTGCGCCACCAGATCTTTTACAGTTCTGGTGAGTGGGGCGTGAGTGAGGAGGTGGTTGGGTTTTCCAGTTGGGATGGGGTTGTGTGCGGTTTTAGAGGGTTTGATATTTTGACCCCCAGAGTCAATTGGTTGGAACTCCAACCAATGTGGTGCTGTGCGGTTGGTTGGATTCAGGCTGGGTTGCAAATTCGATTGGTTCAAATTCCAACCAATTTCCCCCAATTCAACCGCTCTGAATGCATTTGTATCTACGAAACCCAACCCCTGCCACTCAACAATGCTCTTCGTGACCTAGCAGCTCACGTAACCTACGAAATTTCTCTACCAGGACGACCAATGGAATGGGGGGTGGATGGGGGAATAGGGGAAATGAGGGGAGGGGCTTGGGTGAGTGGCAGGAGGGCTAGGGTCGCAAGTGCAAGTGGCTTCATGCTGCAATGGGGCTGCTGCCCTACGCGCTTGACTGCGGGTGCATGCCCTATGGTGTTGGAAACCTCTCTCTATGTTATACCGGCATGGTCCGGCTCGTTGAGAACAATGTGATGGGGGAGACGTACGAGTAGAATGAGTAGAATGGGTTGACGTGGGCTTTTAGATGTCATTTAGCCTATCAAAAGCTCCGGCCGTACTCTCTTCTCTCCATCCCTACTCGTCCACCCTCCCTCCCCATCTCTTTACGTGCAGGCATTCGACAGTGCGGTTGGGGACATCACCTTAACACAGCCGTGCTGTGGGGTGCCTCACAAACACCTCCCCTCCTCCCTTCGGTCCCCTCCCATCCCCCCTCCCCTCCCCCCTCCCCTCCCCCCTCCCCTCCCCCCTCCCCTCCCCCCTCCCCTCCCCCCTCCCCTCCCCTCTCCCCTCCCCCCTCTCCCCCCCATGAACACCCTGACCACCAGACATTCCACGATGCAGTAGGAGACATCACCATAACCGCTGTCCTCATCCTTCCTTCCTCCCCCCGTGCTCTCCACCCGCCTTTTTTGTCCCGCCAACGAGCAGACATTCGACGGTGCCGTAGGAGACATCACCATAACGCAGGAGCGCCAGCAGATGGTGCAGTTCACACAGCCAGTGCAGGTAAACCTGCTCTCGTTATCTAGTGCAGGTCTATCCAGTGCAGGTATATCCAGTGCAGGGTATTTCCAATGCAGGTATATTCAGTGCACGTGCATCCAGTGCAGATAACACCGGTGCAGGTATATCCGCTGCAGGCAGGTACGAGATCGACTTCCTCTCCTGTTCATGAGACCACTTTTCAAATCCACTCCACTCCATTCCTTGTCCTTCCCCATTTCAAAACCCTATTCCCTCAGTCCGCAAGCCTGTCGATGGCAGTGGCCCAGGAGCCCAGGAGCCCACAAGCACGGGCGTGTGGTCGTTCCTCTTGCCCTTCTCGCCCACCATGTGGCTGGTGGTCATCCAGGCGATTTTGAGGCGCCTCAAAAACAGGCGTCCATCCTTTCCCCATCCCTCCCATCCCATCCTTAGCCTCCGTCCACTACCGCCTCTCCCATTCTCATTCTCTCCCCCATTACCCTCTCCTTCCAGTCCGCGAGTCTCTCCATGGCAGTAGCCCAGGAGCCCACGAGCACGGGCGCGTGGTCGTTCCTGTCGCCCTTCTCGCTCACCATGTGGCTGGTCATCCTGGCGTCCACCGCCTTCACGGTGGTGGCCGTGTGGTTCCTGGAGAAGAACCAAAACGAGGACTTCCACGCCCACGGCAAACTCTCCAGCCAGATCATCGACAGCGTCTGGTAAGCCGCAATCTCGTTGGAAGGAGTCTAGTTTTGAGGCGCCTCAAAACTACTCTCCAGCCAGATAATTGACAGCGTCTGGTACGCTGCAGTCTCGTTGAAAGATAAAATCAGGCATTGGGCTTACCAAGGTAGTTTTTTTACGAGAAGCAAATTTGCAGGCCTCCTTGTGCTTCGAGAGGCAAAGAATTCTAGGCTTTGGGTGAGATGGTTATGTGTTCTTCGCCGCATCATTCCGTACTTGAGCTGCACAGTGGACGCCTCCATGCTTAACCATACTAACACATAGAGAGGCTACACTCCGCTAGCAGTGTATGCGAGGTCAGGTCAAGTGTGCATCATTGCATACATGAGTGACCATGTGGACGCCTTTATGTCTTCCTCATACCAACACACCAAGGTAGCACGCCGCTAGCAGCTACTGCGAGGTCAGGTCGAGTGCACAACATTGCATACATGAGCCAACTAGTGGACATCTTTTTGCCTGCCCAGACCAACAAACCGAGGTATCACGCCGCTAGCAACGTATGCGGGGTCAGGCCGAGTGCACATCATTGCGTACATGAGTGAACGAGCTCGAACAATGGCTGGTTGTCTTGGGAGGGAGCAGAGGAGAAACATGCCGTGATTCCATGTTTGAGAGAGAGACGCACCAGGGTTTTTCATGGAGAGTTGAGAGCAAACAAGCAGTTGTTTTGAAGTGTGAGGCCGGCCAACACGATTATTGACATGTGATTGACGCTTGGTTTTTTCCCTGATGCCAACACCTCATCCTCCTTGTTGCTGAGGTGACTTTTGAGTCAACTCAAAAGTCAACTCATTATTGTAAGGTGATTGACGCCTTGCTTTTTCCCTGATGCCAACACTTCATTTCATCCTCCTTGTTGCGAGGTGACTTTTGAGTCGACTCAAAAGTCACCTCATTATTGTCAGGTGATTGTCGCTTTGTTTTTTCCCTTATGCCAACACTTCATCCTCCTTGTTTGTCTCCTCGCCTGTCGGCTCCATCCTGTCAGCCCTTACTAATTCGGTCTTACCCTCTCCCCCTTGTTCCTCATTTGTGTTTCACAGGTACGCGCTCACCACTATCGTGTTCGCACAAGGTGCGTACGCTTTTACTGCTGCACTAGGGCAAGGTGCTGCATGCATGCACCCCCCCTCACCTTTTCATCATTCCCTGCATCAGCACACGTCTCTCCACGTATGTATGCGCCAGCTGCTACTGGGTTTATTTTTTAGGCGCCTCAAAAATCGTCTCAACCTATGTATGCGCAAGCTGCTGCTGGGTTTTTTTTTAGGCGCCTCAAAAATCGTCTCAACCTATGTATGCGCCAGCTGCTACTGGGTTTATTTTTGAGGCGCCTCAAAAATCGTCTCAACCTATGTATGCGCAAGCTGCTGCTGGGTTTTTTTTTAGGCGCCTCAAAAATCGTCTCAACCTATGTATGCGCCAGCTGCTACTGGGTTTATTTTTTAGGCGCCTCAAAAATCGTCTCAACCTATGTATGCGCCAGCTGCTGCTGGGTTTATTTCTTAGGCGCCTCAAAAATCGTCTCAACCTATGTATGCGCAAGCTGCTGCTGGGTTTATTTTTGAGGCGCCTAAAAAATCGTCTCAACCTATGTATGCACCAGCTGCTGCTGGTTTTGAAACATACATAAGTTGAGGAAAGGATAGCAGCATACGTCCTTCTCTCTCCCCCCTTCCCCCCCCCCCCCCCCTCCACCATATTGTGCGAACATGCCCATCCACACCACCATGGGCCACCTGGCCATTACGTGCTACCTTGTCCCCCCTCCCCCCCCCCTCCCCCCTCCACCATATTGTGCAGACAAGCCCATCCACATCACCATGGGGCTCCTGGCCATGACGTGCTGGCTCTTCCTCGTGCTCATCGTTACCGCCAGTTACACTCCCTCCCTCTCACCTTATATGCTGCCTTGTCCCCCCCCTCGCCTCCCCCCACCTACCATGAATGTGTGTGCATGGAATTGTAGACAAGCCCATCCACACCACCATGGGGCGCCTGGCCATGATGTCATGGCTCTTTCTCGTGCTCATCATAACCGCCAGCTACACCGCCTCCCTCTCATCCATCCTCACCGTTCAGAACCTCGCTGCGACCCCTGATGTAAGCACCCTCTGCTACAGCCACACCTGATGTAAGCACCTCTGTTACAGGCACACCTGATGTAAGCACCATCTGTTACAGCCACACCTGTTCTTATAGGCACCCCCTCTATTACAGCCGCCAGGTACACTGCCTCCCTCTCCTCTACCCTCGCCGTTCAGAACCTCTCTGCAACTCCTGTAGTGAGCACCTTGCTGTTTCGCCCACCTTTCTCCGTTTTGAGAATTCTCAAAAACAAAACACATCCTTGCATTCCGTTCCTTCTAACCCTCCTGGCATTCCGTTCCTTCTAACCCTCCTTGCATTCCGCTCCTTCTAACCCTCCTGGCATTCCGTTCCTTCTAACCCTCCTGGCATTCCGTTCCTTCTAACCCTCCTGGCATTCCGTTCCTTCTAACCCTCCTGGCATTCCGTTCCTTCTAACCCTCTCACACCCTTCTCGTCTCCTCGCCTTTCCTTCCTCCTTTTCCCGACCAATGCCCCCCTATTCTCATCCCTCCCTTCTCCCCTTCCTTCCAGTTCTTCTCAACCTCCCTTATCCTTGGGCCAACCCCTTCGCCCCCCTTCCCCGCATCTCTTATTTTGAGATGTCTCAAAACTCGATCACGTCCCCCTCCCTCCCCATTTCTACTCTCAGAACTCAAAACTCATCCCTCCCTTGTACCTGAGCCAGCTCCTTCTCCTCCCTCTTCCCCATCTCCTCTGTGTTCTTTCCTGCTCTACTGATTGCAGAGCCTTTCAGTGGCAATTTCCCTGAAGCTCCCTATCGGTTACCACGAGGGGTCCTTCACCTACAAGTACCTCCTAGCGATCGGCATCCCCGATGTAAGCAGCCTCTCAACCAGTCCTTGTATTGCTTGAAACTTTCTCACTGTAAACAATCCTTTTTATTTGTGTCGTAAGTAGACCCTCTATCTCACTGTAAACAGCCTCTCTATCTCACTGTAAACAATCCTTTTTATATGTGTCGTAAGTAGACCCTCTATCTCGTTACGAGCAGTCCCTTTATCCCCCCTGCATGGCATGCATGGCTGTTTTCGCCATCCATGGCTGTTTTCGCCATCCATGGCTGTATTCGCCATGCATGGCTGTATTCGCTGATGCTTTGGCCTCGGGCAAGGTGAAGGGGTGATGGACGACCCTCCCTCATCCTGACTGTTTTTCCTCTTGCCCCCATCCCTTCCCCTCTAGGGTTGAGCAAACTACCCGCCCGGGTCGGGTACCCGGTACCCGGACCCGCTTTTAGGGCGGGTCGGGTATCGGAAATCCTGAAAAATACCCGGCGGGTCGGGTCCGGGTTACCCGGGGCGGGTATTCGATACCCGCTACCCGAAATGCTACCCGACGCGTCGGGTAGCGGGTACCCGACCCGAAATCGGGTAGCGGTCTACCCGACGGAACCAGCGAGACATTAGTCGCGCTGGTAGAGAAATTTCATCAAGTTTCTAGGTTACGTGAGCTGCTAGGTCACTTAGGGCATTGTACATTGGCAGGGGTTGGGTTTCGTAGATACAGATGCATTCAGAGTGGTTGAATTGGGGGGAATTGGTTGGAAGTCAAACCAATCGAATTTCCCCAATCGAATTTGCAACCCAACCTGAATCCAGCCAACCGCACAGCACCACATTGGTTGGAGTTCCAACCAATTGACTCCGGGGGTGAAAGAATCAAACCCCCAGAAATCGCACACAACCCCATCCCAACTAGAAAACCCAACCAACTCCCCACTCAGGCCCCACTCACGACCCACTCACCACACCAGAACTGGCGCACCTCATACTCCCTCGCGCAACTCACGTTTTTTGAAGCACTATCTTGGTTGTAGGCTTAGTAGCCCAACAGGGTAGAAAAACGCGGGTAATACTACCCGCTTTTCAAGGAAACCGGGTCGGGTATACCCGGACCCGCCAGGCGGGTATTGGTCCTGGGCATGTTACCCGACCCGTACCCGACCCGAAAATACCCGACCCGAAGTCGGGTATAGCAAAACCGGGTCGGGTCGGGTAAATACCCGGTTTTGCTCATGCCTATTCCCCTCCCCCTCCTCCTCCCCTCCCCGCTCCACCAACAGTCCATCCTGCAGCCCCTGGGTTCCATGGCTGAGTTCTCTGATGTTTTGTTGTCAGGCAAGGTGAAGGGGGCGATACACAAGGGGTGATAGGCGAGGCTCAACTCATTCTTCTCGTATCCCTCCCCCTCCCCAATCCCACCTTCCATCCCCTCCCCACCCCCCTCCCTCCCGCTCCACCAAAAGTCCATCCTGCAGCCCCTGGGTTCCATGGCTGAGTTTGCAGACGCCCTGGCGTGGGGTCAGGGAAGGTGAAGGGGGTGACAGACGAGGCTTCCTCATGCTGACTGTTTTTCCTCTTGCCCCTATCCCTTCCCCACCCCCCCTCCCCTCACCCGCCGGCAGTCCATCCTGCAGCCCCTGGGTTCCATGGCTGACTTCGCAGACGCCCTGGGGTCGGGCAAGGTGAAGGGGGTGATAGACGAGGCGCCGTACCTGGATGTGTTCAGCTCGCGCTTCTGCAGCTACACACGGGTGAAGGAGCAGCTATCCACCTTCAACTGGGGCTTTGTGAGTGCTGCTGCTGGATTGTTGCATTGGCTTAGTGCATGCGTTGTATGGTGCATGCGTTGTATTCAGCTCACGGTGCGTGCGACGGAAAGGTGAAGAGGGTGATGGACGAGGTGCCGTAGCTCAACGCGTTCAGCTCAGCTCACGGTTCTGCAGCTACACAAAAGTGAAGGAGCAACTGTCCACGTTCGACTGGGGCTTTGTGAGTGTGCAAGTGCCTTGGTGGGTGCTGTGGGGTTGTTGCGTTGCGCAACACTCCCCTTCTCACTGCGTCCCTCTCACCCCACTCCCCTGTTGCCCACTTCCCACCCTTGCTCCTGCTCGTTTCTCACACCCCCACAGGCGTTTCAGAAGGGTATGCGCGTGCGTATGACCTCTCTCGCCTCTAGCAATCTCCAAGCTAGAACAATCCGGCCAACTCCAGAGCATGCACGACTTCTGGATCAAGGGGTCCACCTCTTGCTCCGTGGGGCCCTCCGCCTCCTCCACCAGCCTCGGCCTTCTGGACGCTCTCTCTCTCTCTCCCCTTCTCACTGCTTCTCTCCCACTCCCATGTTGCCCTCGTCCTGCCTGCCCCTGCTCCTGTTTGTGTCTCACGCCCCCACAGGCCTTTCAGAAGGGAATGCGCGTACCCTACGATCTGTCCATAGCCATTTCAAAACTCGCCCAGTCGGGGCAGCTGCAGAGCATGCACGACTTTTGGATCAAGGGGTCCACCTCTTGCTCCGTGGGGCCCTCCGTCTCCTCCACCAGCCTCGGCCCCGAGAACTTCTGGACGCTCTTTGTGATCTATAGCGCCGTCGCGGTGCTGTGCTGCCTAGTGTACTGCGCCATGTCGGCTTATACGGGGTACAGGATCCTCAGCTACTGCCGCAAGATGGAGAAGGAGTTGAAGGAGGAAGTTGAAAAGGGGAGAGGAGGGTAAGTTGTATGTGGTTCAGGCGAGCAAGTAGGGCAAGCCCCATGTGAGTTCCTTTGTACTGTGCCAGGGTGGCTTATACGTGGTACAGGACCCTCAGCTACTGCCGGAAGATGGAGAAAGAATTGATGGAGGTTGAAGGAGGGAGGCGAGGGTAAGATCCCTCTGAGTCCGGTAGAACTTGGGTAAGTTCCACGATGTCTTGTTTGGGATCATGTGGTTAAGGTCTTTCCTTGTCTTTTTTTTTCTTTTTTCTTGGGGTGCTCGAAATTGCTCTCCATCCTCCCCCACCCCTCTGTTCAGGGCTCCCCTGTCAAATCCGGCGTCCGTACGATGCTTGAAATCAGCCTCTTCCCTGTCCTCTTTGAGGAGGGCCCCCCTTAACCACCCCCCTCCCCCCTCCTCAACCACTGCAGCTCGTCTAAGCCAGAGGAAGGAAGCCAGCAGAAAGGGGCTCCAGGGGCAGTGGTGCGCCGTCAAATCTGGCTTCCCGACGATGCTTGAGATCAGCCTCTTTCTTTTTGGGACCCCCTTAACCACCCCCCTTCCCCTCCCACCCCTCGCAGCTCGTCCAAGCCGGAGCAGCCAGAGGAAGCGAGCAGAAAGGCAGGGTTGACAGGGTGTTGGAGTGCTGTCGAATCCGGTTTCCACACAATGCTGGAGATCAACTTCTTCCACGCCCTCTTTGTGGGGCTTTCGTAACCACAACCCCCCCCCCCCCCCTCGCCCATTGCAGCTCATCCAAGACACAGCCTCCAGAGGAGGCCAGCAGAAAAGGGCTCATTGGGTGCTGGAGTGCTGCCAAATCCGGTTTCCACACAATGCTGGAGATCAACTTCTTCCACGCCCTCTTTGTGGGGCTGGGGTGGAAGGACCCCCCAGACATCCACAACTCCCTGGTGGACAACCAACTGCAGCACATTGACTTTGACAGTTACAGTGCTTCTGGCAGGTTTGGTGGTGCTGGTGGTGCTGGTGGGTTTGATGGTTACGATGCAGCTGGTGATGGGAGGGATGGCAGAGGGGGGGAAGGTGAAGGGGCCACGGTGCTTGAGCGCCTCAGGAGCATGGGAGGGAGTTTCAAGGATGGTGGCGATGGCAGGCGGTTGAAATCAAACAAATCCCTGAAAAGGCGGTTTGACAGGGGAAGCTCGGCCAAGGGGGGCTCGTTCAGGGCCGGGTCTTTCAAGTCAACCTCGTTCAAAGCATCAGAGTCGTTCAAAAAGCCCGGATCTCTCCAGCGGCCAAGCACTGCCGAGGACGGGTCAAGGAAGTCAACGCCAGTCAAGAGGGCAGGTTCTTTCAGAACCGCCGAGTCGCTCAGTTCAGCCTCTTTCAAGCGGGCAGGTGCTTTCCAGGGGGGGCCTGTTGCCCGTGCTGTTAACTTCCGAAGCGCGTCTGTGAACGGCGGTGGAGGCAGGGAGGAGGCAGAAGGGCGGGAGCAGAGGGGGGAGCAGGGGCAGGAGCGGAGGGCAAAGCTTTTTGTGAGAATGGAGAGTGGGAAGGGCAGCTTCAGGAAATCGGACAGTTTTAGTAGGCCTGGGAGTGGAGGTTCCCAAGAAAGGGCTGGGGCTGGGAGCCTGGGCACTGGGCCAATCTCACAGCAGGTGGGCAGCTTTAGGAAATCGGACAGTTTTAGTAGGCCCGGGAGTGGGGGTACCCAAGACAGGAGGGATGGGTCTGGGAGCCTGGGCGCAGGGCCAAGCTCGCAGCAACCGGGCAGCTTCAGAAACACGGGCAGCTTTAAGAGGCAAGGCAGTGCGATCCGGGCTCCAAGCTTCAAGCGCACGGCCAGCATTAGGCAGGAGGGTAGCAGCCCGGGGAGTGGTGGCAGGAGTGCCAACGAGGGTGGTGGGAAGGAGGCAAGTGGCAGGCCAGAGGGCTCGGAGCAGCAAGGGCCTGTGATGAAGCAAATGGGGAGCTTTAAGAAGGCTGGCAGCTTTAAGAAAACAGGCAGCTTCAATCAAAGGGGCAGTCTGGGACAGGGGCCCCTTGTGGGACAGGGGCCCCTTGTGGGACAGGGACCCCTTGTGGGACAGGGACCCCTTGTGGGTCAGGGAGGCCTTTTTAAGCACAGCAGCAGCTTCAAACTCCCTGAAGGCTCGACCCAGACAGGCTTTATCCCAGCAGGCTCCAACCAGGCAGGCGATGCTGTTAGTTCAGGGGTGTCAGAGCAGCAGCAGCAGCAGCAGCAGCAGCAGCAGCAGCAGCAGGTGGGGCCGATAATGAAACCAGCGGGCCTGTTCAAAAAGACAGTCAGCTTCAGAGGGGCTGAGGTGGGAACGAGCTCTGCTGGAAGCTCTGGTGGCTCCGGGGGCATGAACAGAGGGGGAGAGGACGGGGGGGCAGGAGGAGGTGGAGCAGGGGGGACAGGAGGGGCAGGAGGGGCAGGAGGCATCGGAGGTGAGAGGGACGTGGGGGGGGGAGGAAGGACAGGGGGAGAAACTAGGCCGGACGTGAGGTTTGGTGGCCGTGCAAAGGACAGGTTTGAAGGGGGGCCGGTGTGGCAGTCTACGTCTTGGGGGAAGAGAGGGGGAAGCGGGAGCACTGGGGGGAATTAGCGTGAGGTGTTTGACTGATTATGCCTACCAGGCCGAATTCTCCTTTACCCACGCCTGCAAGGGAAGCAGGCTGTACATTAGGTTTGGTGAGAGGTGGTGTGAGGGACAGGCTTGAATGGGGGACCAGTGTGGCGATTGGCTTCTTGGGGGAAGAGAGGGGGATGCTGAAGCACCTGTGGGAATTGACGGGTGTGACTCTTGGTGACAGACAGAAGGAAGGGTGCCCGTTACAGGGAGATGCATGCGCGGAGCGGACAGGTTTGGAGGAGGGGCCGGTGTGGCGATTGGCGTCTTGGGGGAAGAGAGGGGGATGCTGAAGCACCTGTGGGAATTAGGGTGAGGGTGTGTGACTCAATGTGCCAGGCCCAATTCTCCAGGCCTTCAAGGGAAACAGAAGGGACAGGCTTGAAGCAGGGGCGGTGTGGTGGTCGGCGTCTTGGGGGAAGCGAGGGGGATGCTGAAGCACCTGTGGGAATTAGGGTGAGGGTGTTTGACTCAATATGCCAGGGCGTAATCTCCTTTACCCAGGCCTGCAAGGGAAACAGAAGGGAGGCTCGAAGGGGGGGGCGGTGTGGCAGTTGGCGTCTTGAGGGAAGAGAGGGGGATGCTGCAGCACCTGTGGGAATTGATGGGTGTGACTCTTGGTGACAGAAGGAAGGAAGGATGTCCGTTGCAGGGAGATGCATGCCTGTAGCACGAGGATGCATGCCTTTAGGATGTCTTGGGAAGTGGACAGGATGGCAACAGCTTGGTGGGTGGGTGGGTGGTGGTGTGAGGGATAGGCCTGCAGGGGCTTGGTGTGGTCTGGTGTGGTGGTCAACCGTCAACAAGATGACAGGAACAAATGTGTATATTGCTGTCAAGGGAGAACTGGAGATAGGGTTTTGGACAACGGCTCCTTCCCGCATGAAGCGTGCATGCAGGCTGCTGTTGCGTGCTCATAGTGGTTTCGTTTCTTCTAGTTTCTATATTTATGTATTTCCAGTTCTTGTATACCCTTGTGTTTGACAACGCTTTCCATGTACGGAAGAGAAGGGAAGGATGCGAAGAATTTATATTTATATTGGTGATAGCCTCAATATTGGATGCAATGCATCCCAAGTAGGAATTTTTGTTGCTTTGACCAATCGACTTGTGGACCTTTACAATACATGTTCTGCGTAATTTTCCATTGATAGTTCGGAATCAGGAACGGTACTAACGCGGACATTCTTGACAGCGGCTGACTGATTTGGGCGAGTCTTCTTCACAGCCAGCGAAAAACAGGTGATCAGTCTCTGCGACCTTAGTAGTAGTTACCTACCGTGCGACGACCATCTATCGTGCGACGACGACCTCCGTGCGATGGAACCGCCGTCGCCGTCGCCGTCAGCAACGGCGCCAGCAGCGAGTAGTGGCCCGCCACGTGTCTTCAACGTGAATGTCGGCATCCTAGGGCACATCGACAGCGGCAAGACCAGCCTCGGTGAGCCGACACGTGGCCGCACGGGATTCGTCTAGGCAAGCTTTATTACCATGCACCCCCCAAGCGCAGGGAGAGACACGTGGAAACACCTCTGTAGCTGCCTGTGGAAACACGTGGAAACACGTGAAAGAACGTGGAAACACGTGGAAACACCTGGAAAGACCTCTTTTCTCACCACCTCCACGCATACGTTCTCCCCTCCAAGCTTCCACACCACGGTGCTATCTCCGTCCCCTCACATACCCCCCAGCCAGGGCGCTGAGCACGCTGCTGAGCACGGCCGCGCTGGACAAACACCCTCAGAGCGCAGAGAGAGGAATCACCCTCGACCTTGGGTTCTCCGCCTTCCAGGTACCTTCCTCGTGCGTTCCAGGCAGCTTCAGAGCGCTGTAAGACGTTGTTTTCACCTTGGCACGTGCATTTTGTGTCTGCTGTCCCTTCCAGCTACTGCTACTGCTACTGCACCTTATCACTTGGCACGTGCTTTTTGAGCCGTCTCTTAACACGCCTTGTGGTGGACTGCCCCGGCGCTGGGCCCCTCACTCACCTCTCCCTCTCACATTCCGTCCCACCCTCTCAAGCGTTCCATTGTATCATTTGGATTTGGAATGGAAGCTTCTGCTCAGTTTGGCTCTGACTTAGACTCCTGGGTAACACTACACACACACACACACACTACACACACACACACAATACACACACACACACTACACACACACACACACTACACACACACACACACTACACACACACACACACTACATACACACACACTTGCCCTCTTTGCCCTTCACACACACACACTTGCCCTCTTTGCCCTACACACACACACACTTGCCCTCTTTGCCCTTCACACACACACACTTGCCCTCTTTGCCCTTCACACACACACACTTGCCCTCTTTGCCCTACACACACACACACTTGCCCTCTTTGCCCTTCACACACACACACTTGCCCTCTTTGCCCTTTACACACACACACTTGCCCTCTTTGCCCTACACACACACACACTTGCCCTCTTTGCCCTACACACACACACACACACTTGCCCTCTTTTCCCTACACAAACACACACTTGCCCTCTTTTCCCTACACACACACACACACTTGCCCTCTTTTCCCTACACACACACACACTTGCCCTCTTTGCCCTACACACACACACACTTGCCCTCTTTTCCCTACACACACACACACTTGCCCTCTTTTCCCTACACACACACACACTTGCCCTCTTTGCCCTACACACACACACACTTGCCCTCTTTGCCCTACACACACACACACACTTGCCCTCTTTTCCCTACACACACACACACTTGCCCTCTTTTCCCTACACACACACACACTTGCCCTCTTTGCCCTACACACACACACACTTGCCCTCTTTTCCCTACACACACACACACTTGCCCTCTTTTCCCTACACACACACACACTTGCCTTCTTTGCCCTACACACACACACACTTGCCCTCTTTGCCCTACACACACACACACACACTTGCCCTCTTTTCCCTACACACACACACACTTGCCCTCTTTGCCCTACACACACTCTCTCAACTCTTCCCTCCACATTCCCTCGTCCCCACCCCCTCCCCCGGGTGTCCCACCCCCTCCCCCCGGATGTCCCACCCCCTCCCCCTCCCCCCTCTCAAAGTCAGGTGGGCGTCCCATCTCTCATCACCGCGTACCCCGCCTCCCCTATGGTAACATCCAGTCACGCTCGTGGGCTGCCCCGCCCACGCCTCGCTCACTCACCCCCCTCGTACACATGTTGTAGGTGATTTTTTAGAACTCTGAAAAATCACCTCGTCTCCACTCCACCTTCTCTCCCGCCTAACCCTTCACCCCAGGTTGACGTCCCCCCATCCCTGGCACGCTGTCTTCCATACGACAAGATCCAGCTCACGCACGTGGACTGCCCTGGCCATGCATCCCTCGCCTCTCCCTCCCGCGTTCTCTCTCCCATCGTCCCTCTCACATCGTCCCTCTCCCATCGTCGCTCTCACATTCCCTCGTCTCCCCTCACCCCAGGTGGACGTCCCCCCATCCCTGGCTCACCATCTCCCCTATGAGAAGATCCAGTTCACGCTAGTGGACTGCCCCGGCCACGCATCTCTCATTCGCACCATCATCGGAGGTCCGCCTTGCTTCTCCTGTCCTTCCTTCCTAACCGTACTTTCGTCGTTCCTTCTTTGCCCTTGCCTTCCGTCCTTCTTATCATGCCATACCCAGCCATACCCTGCGATACCATGCCATACCATACCGTACCGTACTGCACTCATCCCAGATCATACCGTTCCACACCACTTTCCTGCACCCTACCCTTTCTCAGGCGCTCAGATCATAGACTTGATGCTGCTGGTAGTGGACGTCACCAAAGGCATCCAGACACAAACGGCTGAGGTGAGGTGAGGTGAGGTGAGGTGAGGTGAGGTGAGGTGAGGTGAGGTGAGGTGAGGTGAGGTGAGGTGAGGTGAGGTGAGTTGAGGTGAGGTGAGTTGAGGTGAGGTGAGTTGAGGTGAGGTGAGTTGAGGTGAGGTGAGTTGAGGTGAGGTTGTTTCAACGTGGTGTTTGTGGCGCTCAGATCATCGGCTTGATGCTGCTGGTAGTGGACCTCACCAAAGGCATTCAGACACAAACGGCTGAGGTGAGGAGTCATCGCCCCCCCTCACCTTGTCGCGCAAACGGCTGAGGTGGGGCTGTATTGACGCTGGCGCACAGATCATCGGCTTGATGCTGCTGGTAGTGGATGTCACCAAGGGCATCCAGACACAAACGGCTGAGGTGAGGAGGGGTTTGAGGCGCCTGCTTTTGATGCGCCTGCGTTTGATGCACCTGCTTTTGAGGCGCCTGGCCCCACCATGTTCCACTGTAATAGCCCGCTCTTCGTCCTTCCACTGTTATGGCCGCTCTATTATTTCTCTGTGTCTTCAACTCCACTCTTATTCCGCCTCCTCTCTCTTCTCACTTCTCTCTCCTCTCTCGGTGCAGTGTCTAGTTGTGGGCGAGGTTTCTCCCACCAAGGAAATGGTTGTGGTGCTCAACAAAACGGTACGCTCTCGTGTCACCTCTCTTTTTCAGCAGATTCAAACGTCGGTTGCTTTTCACCTACCTTACAGCAAACCAGCGTTTGACCGTCGGTTGCCTTCCACGTCTACCGCATACAGTCCAATGACTTTGGTTGGAGTCGGCTCAAAAGTCATACATCACAACCTCATGCCACACGCAAACAGGACATAGGTAACTGTTTTTTAGGCGCCTCAAAAATGGATTGGAGAGCAAGAAAGGGAATGTTGCGAGTAGATTTTATTTTTAGGCGTCTCAAAAATATACATCAAACGCATACAGTGCGGTCTCATGCCACGCGCAAACAGGACATTGGAAACGGTTGTGGTGCTCATCAAAATGGTACACTCTCAGCCATATCTTATATTGAGTCGACTCAAAAGCAGACTCATGCCATATCTTATATTGAGTCGACTCAAAAGCAGACTCATGCCATATCTTATATTGAGTCGACTCAAAAGCAGACTCGTGCCATCTCTGATATATTTCAGTACTACAGTAGTCTAAGACCTGCAAATGTTACACTTCCTTCCCACTTACACACAGTACACTCTTTCTGGAACGAGTTCCCCCTCTTACCCTCTCTCTCCCCCTTCCACTTGTCCCTTCCTCTCTCTGCTCCATCCTTGTTATTTCTCTTTCTCTCAAGCCAGGACCTCTTACCTGCTGCCACAAAGCAAGTGCAGATCGACAAGGTAAGTGCATGGGCATAGAGTCACCTAATTTTGAGGCGCCCCAAAACTAGAGTCCTATCACAAAGAAAGTGCAGATCGACAAGGTAAGTGCATGGGCATAGTGACTCACATGCTCCCATCACGTACTTCTTCCCTGTCCTTTCACTTCAAGTGCTCCTTTTTGGGGGACCCACTTGTGTGCTGCCCGTTGCCACTTTCGAGAAGCAAATCCCGCGCCTTTTTCTTGCATCAATACTGATTCCTCTCATGACGCATCCTGCTTCTTGCTTGCATTCACACTCTCAGATGAGGAAGAGAAGCGAGCCACCTTAAGAGGCACCAAGTTTGCCGATGCTGCCACGGTCACAGCAGCGGATCACATTTCCTTTCCTTGCCTCCTTGCTCTCTTTTTGAGGCGCCTCAAAAATAGACTCTCTTTTTGAGGCGCCTCAAAAATTAACTCCCGATGCTGCCATGGTCGCAGCAGCGGATCACATTTCCTTTCCTTGCCTCCTTGCTCTCGCTTCTCCGTGTCGTGCATCTCTCTCTCGCCTGTCACCCCCAGACGAGGAAGAGACTAAAGGCCACTCTGAAAGGCACCAAGTTTGCCGATGCTGCCATCGTCACAACAGCAGCACCGCCACCACCAGCAACAGCAGAAGGCGTTTCTGACCTTGTCAACCAGCTCATAGCCCGGGTACCCTGTGAGTGCTCTAGTCCACCTCTCCCTTTCCCAGCCATACCTTGGATCGAACTCCAGAGTGGCCTTTCCTTTTCCCTGTGCCTCATAAAGAACACCCTCTCCCCACCATCCCTCCCTCCACCAACCCTCCCCCGCACTCCCCACCCCCAAGATATATCAGCTTTGAGACGTCTACTCCCCCAAAACTAACCTACTCCTCCCCACTCCCCACCCCCAAGCTATATCTCGGACTTCAGAAGGGCCTTTCTTCAAATGCCATACGCAATCTTTTCTCCCCTCTCCTCTCCCCCTCCTTCTATCTTCCCTCCTGCTCCCCTTCTCTCCCCCCCCCCCCTCCCTCTCCCGTTCCCAGCCATATCTCGCACTTCAGAGGGTCCGTTCCTTTTTGCGATCGACCACTGCTTCCCCATCAAGGGCCAGGTGATTTCAACATGCATCCAGGTGATTTCAACAAGAATGCAGGTGATTGCAGCACTCCAGGTGAGATAATAATCCTGGCTATTTTAACAGGGAGCCAGGTGGTTTCAACAGAGAACCGGGTGGTTCGAGATCACACCCAGGTGGTTTGAGATCACAGCCAGTTGGTTCGAGATCACAGCCAGGTGGTTCCTTGGAGGAGTATTATGGCGGCACTTCCATCACTAGCTAGCTTATGAATTAATCACTAGCTTATGAATAAATCGCTAGGTTATGAATTAATCGCTAGGCTATGAATCAATGGATAGGTTATGAATTAAGAAGATAGGGCAAGGAAAGAGAGTTTCACCTTTCACATCTCCCCTTATGGCCACCCCCTTTATTCTGTCCCACCCCGTCTTGTAGGGCTCCGTGATGACAGGAACAGTGCTGAGGGGACACGTGGCAGTGAATGATTCGCTTGAGCTTCCCCTGCTCAAGCTACAGAAGAAGGTAAGGCACATACATACATACTTTTGAGGCGCCTCAAAAGACATCCATACATACCATCCATCCATGCATCCAGGCCGTGATCTGTGCAATGAGTCTATTTTTGAGTCGACTCAAAAATAGACTCATTACACAGGGTACGGCACATCCATACATACCATCCATCCATGCATCCAGGCCGTGATCTGTGCCTCATGCCTGATGCATCTGCCACCTCAGCATAGGCGAATGGTATGCTAAGGCATGCCATGCCTCCCCACCTCTCCTTGACCCTCCTCGATTCTCCCTCTTGTTCCCCTCCCCTCTGCCCCTTCCCATCTGTCCAGGTCAAGAGCATACAGATGTTTCACAGGCGTGAGCAGTCTATTTTTGAGGCGCCTAAAAAATGTTCCCCTCCCCTCTGCCCTTTCCTATCTGTCCAGGTCAAGAGCATGCAGATGTTTCACAGGCCGGTCTCTCAGGCCGCACAGGTCAGTATTCCTTGTGGCTTTGAGCTTGTGCCTGCTGTCCTTTGCCTTTGTTCCTCTGTTGTCAGACAACAGAGGACCTTGCCTTTGTGTCTACTTGCCTTACCTCCCATACCCTGCCTCTTTGTCCCTCCACGCCGATCCAGACGTGCGTGTGTGTGGGGAGGGGGGTGGGTATCTGATTGTGGGTTTCGGCGGAAGGGTGGGGTGGAGAGGGGGGGTGTCGGTGGTTGGGTGGGTTTTTTTCTGCCTTTGATGATTCCCCTTCTTGTGGGTTTTTGGCTCCATGTGCTGGCAGGGTGATCGCGTGGGTCTCTGTGTCACTCAGCTCGACCCGAAGCTCATCGAGCGAGGAATTGCAGTTACGTTCACTGCTCTCCCCACTGCTCTCCCCACTGCTCTCCCCACTGCTCTCCCCACTGCTCTCCCCACTGCTCTCCCCACTGCTCTTCCCACTGCTCTCCCCACTGCTCTCCCCACTGCTCTCCCCACTGCTCTCCCCACTGCTCTCCCCACTGCTCTCCCCACTGCTCTCCCCACTGCTCTCCCCACTGCTCTCCCCACTGCTCTCCCCAATGCTCTCCCCAATGCTCTCTCCAGTGCTCTCCCCAGTGCTCCCCCCACATGCACGCATAACCACCGAGCCTTTCCCCAACACCCAACCGCCCACTGACCCCACGCCGCATATCCCACCCACGCTCTTGTAGCATGCTGCCTGCTCCTGGTGCAGAGCCCATTGCCTCTCACTCCCTCTGCTGCCATTGGATTGGCACTGCCCTTAAACCCTACATCTAACGCGCCTCAAAAGCTACCATACACCACCCACTGACCCCACTCTCCGTGCCCCACGCCCTTGTAGCATGCAGGCTGCACCTGGTTCAGTGCCCATCCTGTCTGCTGCAATCGCAGCCGTTCATCCCATCCGATTCTTCAAAGGACCCCTCACCTCCAACTCCAAGTTCCATGGTTCGTTGGACTCTTCCCCTTCCTCCTTCTCTTTTGAGCCAACTGTAGCAAGCTCTCCAACTGTAAAGCCAAAGGACCATCCTCTGCACCCAACGGACAGCTCTCCTCAAACTCCGAGCTCCATGGCCCGTTACTCTGATCCACGTCACAGCTTATGGTCCACGTCACAGCTCTTATGGTCCACGTCACAGCTCTTATGGTCCACGTCACAGCTCTTATGGTCCACGTCACAGCTCTTATGGTCCGTTCTTTGAAGGACCATGCTTATGGTCCGTTACTCTGATCCACGTCACAGCTCCGTTCCACTCTTTCTTAGATCGCTTTTGAGTCGACTCAAAAGCAAAATCAGACTCCGAGTCGACTCTATGATCCGTTACTTTTCCATGTCGCATCTCCACTCCACTCTTACTTGGTTCCTCTTTCCCTCCCTTGTACTTCAGCAAAAGGATTGCCTTGACTCTTTTTATATTTCCCTTCACTCCTACAGTAACATCGGCCCACTCTTTTCCACTTGATTCCCCTTGACTTCCCATCCCTTCATTTCCCTTCCCTCGCCTTCCCATTCTTTCCCCCTCCACTAATGACCTAAGTGGAGAAATACGCTTGGCCAGCCTAGCGTATTGCGTACATACGCTAGCGTATAATACGAATACGCTGTACGCTAGCTAAGTACGCAATACGCTAGCGTATTTCTTGGCGGGCAGCCCGGCAAGAAATACGCAAAAAACGATGCGACAAATTTGCGACATGACGAAACCCCACAGGGATTTCGCCATGTCGCAAACCGAAATTTGGCTTTTCAAATCGTCAACCCAACCCCTTCGCCCCTCCCAACCACACAGCATCCCACCCAATCTGCGACTTCCAAACAACACCCAAAGAAATCTCCTTCCTCTCCCTCTCTACTCTACTCCAGCAGGGTTCAGCGCAGTTCACTCCTACGACGAAATCAGGGTACAAGTAAACTGGCACGCTAACTTCAGTCATTTCTTCTTCCAAGCTAGCGCGACTAGCTAGCTGGTTTTTTAGCGACTGTTGCTATGTCGAACCCTTCACCTAGTCCTGGTTCCCACGGAACCGACGCGGGAACCTCCTGTGCTGCGTCTTCCTCTGACGAGCTCCTGGAGAACTCCACCCACGCTATCTTTAAGCATTTCAAGTTTAAGCATAAGGAGCACGGCAAGCAGCAAAAGTATTGGTGCAAGTACTGCCCCGTATCCTTTACCGGGACGGCCTACCGCTGCGCACAGCACATCACTAGTTGGGATGGTATGCGTAGGCGCGAGGTTCGGAAATGCGAGGAGGTAGGGAAGGAGGAGCAGGCTGCCGTCCGCGCGTTCCAAACCGCCGCGTTCCAAGTGCTCGCGAGGGAGGAGGCGCTTAGGGCGGAGGAGTCGGCCCTCGACGCCGTTAGTGGTCGAGGAAAGCGGAAGATCACCGATTACCTGTCCGATGACGCCCAAGCGGCCAAGGCGGCGGCGGACGAGGCTATTTGCCTCCTCTTTGCCGGCCTCCGCCTTCCCGAGCGCCATGCCGACCACCCGCTTTGGCGCAACGCCGTCCGGTCCATCGCGCGCGCGGGGACCAGCTATGTGCCTCCAAAGCGCGACTACGTGGGTGGTGCCGGCTTGCAGCTATGCCGCAAGCGGATTGACGAGGGATTGACGGGCGTCATGTCGAGCTGGAAGCGCCACGGCGTGACGATTGCCAGCGACATGATGACCGACAAGTGTGGCAGGCCGCAGGCGAATGTGATGCTGGTCAATGACACCGGCGCAGTGTTCGTCGAGAGTATTGACTGCAAGATGGAGAAAAAGACCGGGGGATACATCGCCCGGCTCCTCCGGCCCATCCTGCAAAAGGTTGGGGTCGAGAACATCGTGGCATTCTGCACCGATGGCGGCAGCAACTACCACAGCGCCTGCCGGCTCCTCATTGCAGAGAATCCGCGCATCGAGCATGTGCCGTGTGCGACGCACGTGCTCGACCTCCTTATGGAGGATGTGGGACGGCAGGCTTGGGCCAAGGAGGTAGTGGGGCGGGCGAGCGAGCTCATCAACTACACCCGCAGCCACCATTGGACCCGACAGTATCTCAGGGGTGTGGACGGAGGGAAGGGGCTGCAGATGCTGAGGCCGGCGGGGACCAGGTTTGGGACGCAGCACATTGCTGTGTCCCGCCTAGTGGAGTTGCGGTCAACGCTGGTGACCATGGTGCTCTGCGATGCATGGAAGGCGGAGTGGGCGGTGGGCCCAAAGAAGGCAGCTGCAGAGACATTCCACGACCAGATCATGGATAAGGACTGGTGGCCAGCGGCTGAGCTCTTCAAGAGGCTGCTCCTGCTGCCGTTCAAGGCCATGAGGGCGACGGATTCGGCAACGAAAGGGATGATGGGCCGCATCTATGAGCTGATGCTTGAGCTCACTGTGAATGTGGCAGAACTGCTGAAGGAGGAGGGGGATGGGGTGCTGAGTGCGGGAGACAAGAAGGGCGTCAATGAGATTGTGAAGCGGCGTTGGGATGAGAGTATGGCTTGCCCACTGCACGTGGTCGGGCGGATTCTTAACCCAGTCAACCAGGAGGAGCGGATTTTTGGGCCGGACACGGAGTGCACCAATGTGTTCAAAGCTTTCATTGCCCGCCACTATGGCGGGGTGATGATTCCCCAGAGGGATGGCCTGCCCAAGCGTGCCACACTCCTCCTGCAGGAAGGGTTGGCCGCCTTTCTGAAGTTGAGGGGCAGCTTCGGCACGGCTGAGGCCATCAGTGACCGGAAGTTGGTGAAGGAAGGAAGTTATTCCATGGAGGCGTGGTGGGAGTGGCACGGCACTGACCACCCCTTGCTCATGGCCCTTGCTTGCCGAGTGCTAACTCAGCCGGTGTCTGCATCCAGCTGCGAGCGCAACTGGGCGGTGTGGGATACTGTCCACACCGCCCGACGCAACCGGCTGGGTTCAGAAAAGTGCAAGGATCTGGTTTACGTTGCGCACAACTGGAAGGTTGTGCACAACTGGCACATGGCCGACGAGGGGGCGGGGGTGGTGTCCGGTAACATCCCGGACGCCCCCGTCCCTGCGGGGTACAGGGTGGATCGGGAGGAGGAGGATGAGGAGGGCGAAGATGAGGAGCTGCTGGACGAGTACCTGTAGAGCAGAGCAGGAGAGGGTTAGGCGGGCGGTTTGGGGGAGGCTTACCTGAGATGGGTGGTTGGCTGGTTGTTGGAGTTTGGAACCCTTGACATGCCCTTGGTGGCTTGAACTATTTATTTATTACCATGCTAAATGATGCTACATTTGGTGGGGGGAATTTGGTGCTCTGAACCCCCCCTCTTCCCTCCCCAAACAGGTTTTTTTTACCCCTGCCCGAGTTGTTTTTATACCTGCCCGCCAGAGCGTATTTCCTAGCGTATCCAATCCCATAATGAAGCGTACAGCGTATATACGCTAGCGTATAATACGCTTGCGTATAATACGCTTGCGTATAATACGCTGGACGCGTATTTCTCCACTTAGCTAATGACAGCAGCAGTGGGCTTTTGAGTCGACTCAAAAGTCTCCCCTTTCGTTGTCATCTTTCTTCCCCCTAGTCCCTCCCCTTCCATCCTTCCTTCCATCTTGCTGTAACCGTGGGGAGTCTATTTTTGAGGCGCCTCAGAAATCTACTTCATTTCCACAACAGTAACTGTGGGCCTTTCCACATCCACTGGCATGACAACTGTCTCACCTTATTCGTACCCCCTTCCTCCTTCCCTTACCCCCTCCCTTCCCTCTTCGTCCCTCACTCCCTCACTAGTAACCGTGGGTCATTCCACTGTCATGACAGCTGTCACCTTCTTCGACCATCCCTCCCCAAACTCTTCAACCCCCAGCTCAGGTGCTCTTCTCACTGAGAGCTCCCCTCTCCGCGTGCTCGTCTCATTGCCTCTCCTCTTCAAGTCCCCCTGAAACTAGGCTTCTTGCTGTCTCCTTCTTCGCCCATCCCTCCCCAAACGCGCCAGCCCCCATCTCAGGCGCGCTTCCCATCGTGCACTCTCCCCTCTTCTCTGTTTTTTATCGCTTTTTCGAACTCTCAACAGCACTACTCGCAATCTCATGTGGCTATTCATTTCCCATGGTGGTGTTCCTCCTCCCCTCTTCCCTTCCGTCCTCCTTCCTTCCCTTTGGCACTACCAGCATCACCATTTGATTTCTCTCTTGACTACCCCTATGTGGTGAGTTCCCCAGTGTACGGTGCTGAGTTGCCCCAGAACATCTGATAAATTCCCCTGGGTATGGTGGTGAGTTACCCCAGAACATCTAATAAATTCACCAGGGTACAGTGGTGAGTTACCCCAGAACCATCTGATAAATTCCCCAGGGTACGGTGGTGAGTTACCCAAGAAGATCTGATAAATCACTCCAGTGGATGGGTGCCTTTTCATACCGTTCCTCTTCCTCTTTTGCCGCTGCCAGCTCTGGCGCCTGTCTTCCTCAAAAACATCTCTCCTTTTGCTGCTTGAACTGGCCTATTCACTTCTTTTGTCTGGAGAGAAGCTCACAAGACATCCCTCCAGGACCGGGGTCTGATCAGCGGAGCCCCGACGCATCTGAATTTGCCTTTTACTGCATGAACTAGCTCTTTCTCTTCTTTTGTCTGCAGGACAATCTACAAGACAGTCCTGCAGATTTAGCACCTGATCAGCAGAGCCCTGACGCGTCTGAGTCTGCATCCCACGCACACTTTGCCCTCCTCGTGTTCGAATCCGAGGTATCTTTTATCTCTTTTCGCACTTTGAGAAATTGCAGAAATCTGAGACGTGCGAGAATCATCACGAAGCATCACCCAGGCATTTCTCGTGGTTGGGTCAGTGGTGTTTATGAGTCCTTAGCTTGGTTTCACCCACGCAGTTCTTGTGCATGCCTGCAGGCTGCAACCCTCCACGTTGCTGGGTATTTTTGAGAATTCTCAAAAATAGCATGCCTGCAAACTGCAACCCTCCACGTTGCTCAAGAAACATCGGATCATTGTGATTTCGTATGGTGAATCGTGATTTTTCAATCGAGTAAAGAATGCCGAGCCAATAGATTCTCAACAGTCATTTAAGTCTGTCCTCATATTTGGCATGGCATGGCATGGCATGGCGTGGCATGGCATGGCATGACCTGGTATGTTACGGCATTACATATATCATGGCATGGCATGGCGTGGCATGACATGGCATGACCTGGTATGTTATGGCATCGCATATATCATGGCATGGCACGACATGGCACGGCATGGCACCTGTGTATCCATGCAGATCGCCTGTCCAAGTGACGCGTTACTCATAGCATCTCGGCTCGACTCGGACATCCGTAAGACACATCAGTACCATCCATCCGGCTGCTTTGACATGTGCTTGATCAATATGTGTACAAGTCACATATGTCACACATGCGTTGATAGATGTCCGTGCAAGAGTTTTATCTTTTTTCACATCCTTCAACCCCCCTCCCTCCGCCATGCAGACTCCAACACATGCTGCATGGCATTCTAAGGCCGCATAGTCTCACCTTGCGTCCTTGCGTCCTACCTTTTTCTCTCCCCTCCCTCCTATATCCACCATCGAACCCAGACTCCAACACATGCTGCATGGCATTCTAAGGCCGCATAGTCTCACCTTGTGTCCTTGCGTCCTACCTTTTTCTCTCCCCTCCCTCCTATATCCACCATCGCACCCAGACTCCAACACATGCCGCATGGCATTCCATGGCCACATCGTTGCCCCCATTGATCCAACCACAATGAACTCAGGCTCTCAGGTATGGGACCAAGGCGCGGAACTCGGTCTGGACACAGGTACAGCAAGATCCATCATGGTCAGGTTTTATTTCTATAAAAACCTGGCCACTATTATAGCCCCTCGACCGCTCTGGCATCCCTTTTCCAGTGCCACAATCATTTCGATCCTACCCCATGTCGCTCCTCCCCATGTCTCATTGTTATCCATCAGGCCATGCGTGTGTTCAAGCTTAAGACCAGGGAGGGGGTGATCGGCCAGGTGTGGTTTGATTATCACTCCTTCATTGCTGTCTCCCTCACACGCTCATTCGCCCCCTCTCCTCTCTTCTCTCTTCACCCCCTTCCAGGCCGTGCGTGTGTTCAAGCTGAAGAGCAGGGAGGGGGTGATCGACCGGGTGGTTGATTCCCACTCGCTCATCGGTCGAGGCCTCTTCAAGAAAGAAACGGACATCACCAAATTCGTGGGGCTCAGAGTCACAACCGTGGAAGGTGCGTGGGTGGGTGCTGGGCTGTACGTGCATCTCCCTTCCCTCCTGATGACTGGTTGACTCCCACTCCCTTATCGGTCGAGGACTCTTCAAGAAGAAAACGGACATCTCCAAGTTTGTGGGGCTCAAAGTAACAACTGTAGAAGGTGGGGCGAACTGACTGCTGTGCAGGGTGGGTAAGTGTAAGTCGCGATGTGGTATGGTCAAGTGCATTGAGGTGTGGTCGAGGCATCTTCAAGAAGGAAGCAGACATTACCAAATTCGTGGGGCTCAGGGTCACAACCGCGGAAGGCGGATGGGTGGGTGCCGGGCTGCATGTGCGTCTCCCTTCTTTCCTGCATGACCGGGTGGTGGATTCCCGCCCGCTCATCGGTCGAGGCCTCTTCAAGAAAGAAACGGACATTACCAAATTCGTGGGGCTCAGAGTAGCAACCGTGGAAGGTGCGTGGGTGCAAGCAATGCTGTATGTGGGGCGTCAAGCCTCTTTCCCAGTCGCTCTTCAGTCGAGAGCTCTTCAAGAAAGAAACGGACATTTCCAAATTCGTGGGGCTCAGAGTCACAACCGTGGAAGGTGGGTGGGTGGGTGCTGGGCTGTATGTGCGTCTCCCTTCTCTTCTGATGACTGGTTGACTCCCACTCTCTTATCGGTCAAGGGCTGTTTAAGAAAGAAACTGACATTTCCAAATTCGTGGGGCTCAGAGTAACAACTGTGGAAGGTGCGTGGGTGCAAGCAATTCTGTTTGTAGGGCGTTAAGCCTCTCTCCCCCCATCCGGCACCTCAGCTTGTTGGTTCCCACTCGCTCATCAGTCGAGGGGTGTTTAAGAAAGAAACGGACACTTCCAAATTCGTGGGGCTCAGAGTAACAACCGTGGAAGGTGGTTGAATAGTGGGTAGGCACGCTCCATGGTGCTCGGATGAAGTTGTGTTGAATCATGGTCTTGGGAAGAGCAGCAGTACAAAGGCGGTCGCTTGAGCAAAAAGAAAGAGAGTGTTAGGTTGCTCCGATGAGATTGTGTTAATCCACCTACCCATTGACCATCATTTCCTTGGCTTTCCATTGACATTTTGATCAACGGGCCGTCACCATCACCGTGCAAACCATGCACAGAAACATGTTGGGTGAGAAGGGGGGGGAGGGGGGGGCCAACAGAACAGGACAGAACAGGATTGCGGATAGGGGGGAAAGGAAGCGGGACTGCAGATACTGCCCTCTCCCCTCGTCTGCGTTCTTCTTTCATTCGCAGAAGTGGGACTGCAGCAAGGTGGGGAATTGCTTAGTCTTGGCTTGGCAAGGTGGGGAATTGCTTTTGAGTCGGCTCAGAAGCTTTTCTTTGTTCCGTTGTTTCTTTCCATTTGCAGGAACACAAGGAACGATCCAGTCGCCGTTTGGCAAGTCGGGGAAATTCAAGGCAAGTCCCGTGCTACATCCTGCTTAATTCGCATTGTCTACTTGAATATTTTTCTACTTCCTAACATTTTTCTGCCTCTTCGCCCCCTGCAGCTTCCCTCATCCCGTGCGCCTCCCTCCCCGCTTCAATTCCTTACGCTCTACTCCCTCATTTCCACAGGTTGTGTACCAATCTGTACCACCCAACGAGTCTACCGCCTATGTGCCTTTGCCCCCTTGTCCGCTCCCATCGTCTCCCTCCTTCTCTCCGTGCCTTCCTCCCGTCCAATTCCTCCCCTTGTCATGACTCTTGCCCGCCTCCCCGCCCTCCCCCCTCCCTCGCAGGTTGAGTTCCAAGACTGCACTACCCAGAGAGGCCACAGCTAGTGCGCCTCTGCATCTGCCCCCATTTCCCCACTCCCTCCAAACCCTTTTTCCCCCCAATCCCTACCCTTGTCATCCCCCACCCCCGCGCCTCCTCCCCCTCTCCCTCCCTTGCAGGTTGTGTTCCAATCCGCACTGCCTAAAGAGGCCATAGCTGGTGCGCCTCTACATCTCGTTTTCAAGCGGCTATTGTTTGATAAGACAAAGCAAATGCTACAGTAGGTGACATGTCACATGAATGCTACAGCATATAATTCTACGCCTGCAACTGGCCACCTTGGGAGTTCTGTACCAGTGCTCATTACAGTAGAAGAGTGAAGGCTACACCACACTGGCAATTCAGTTTTTCAAGCACCCATATTCGGTACCAATACACTACCATGGAGAATGTGGAATGTGCTGTTAGGGTGAATATTTCTGTATGACCTACATTCAAACTTTGCATGCTCTACAGTCCGTAGTGTTAAATTATATATATTATATATATAATTGTAAGCTTGGTAGGTGTTACTGGAACATACTGAAGAGGGTACTGTTAAGTTATATATTTGATGTCTATAATGGTAGGCTTGGTAGGTGTTACTGGATCCTACTGTAGAGGGTACAACCCCCCTTCTTGTATCCCTCTCTCTTCTTTTCAAAGCCCCTTTTTCTTCTCTCGGCATTTCTCCTTTCTAAACCTCACTCCATTCCATAGCTTACTTTAACATGGTTTCAGAGCAGGTTGCTCTTCCTGGGCCTGCTTATCACGCTTCCGCCGCTCACTCCTCCTCTCTCTCTCTCTCTCGCGCTGCCATGGCGGCCGCATCGTGCTGCTGTGGCGGCGTCGTCGTGCCGCTGGGAGCGTCGTGCTGCCGTGGCCGTCTCGACGCGCTGCCGTGGCGTCGCGCTGTCGTGGCGTCGGCGTCAAGCCGTGGCGGCGTCATCGACGTCGAGCCTTGGCGGCGTGACGGCGCCATCGTTCTGCCATGGCGACGTGCTGCCAGCGCACGTACGGCACGGACGGCAGCGGCCAGCGCCCCGACTTAGCGCTGGCCAGCACGCCCGCATGCAGCCAGCGCGCCACACGGGGCGGCACGCTCCCGGGCTCCGCTGCTGAAGCCCCGCCCCCTTCCCCTGCGTCCCCTCTTCCTCGTCGCGGCCGACGGCTGACTCGCACCGGCCGTCCCACCGTCGCGGAGCCCGGCCACGCCGCCGAGTGCTGCGAGCTCCACCGCTGCAGGCAGCTGTCGTCGAAGCAGCCGCCGCCGCAGCTGGTGCCGCTGGCCACGCCGCCGCCGCCGCCACTGTTGACGCTGCCGTCGTCGCCGCCGTTGCAGCCGCTGCCCTCGCTGTCGACGGCGCCGCCTCACGCACCGAGGGGCTGATTCTGCTGGAGTAGCCGCTGCTGCTGTTGAGTATGGGGGTGCTAGGTTTAGGGGGTGTGTGGCTTAGTGTGCTGTGTGTGTGGTGGGATTTCAGCTACCAAGCCTAGGGGGTGTGTTAAAATATATATTTGACACATATAATGGTAGGCTTGGTAGGTGATACTAGATCCTACTGTAGATGGTACAACCCCCCTTCTTGTATCCCTCTCTCTTCTTTTCAAAGTTCTCTTTTCTCTCGACATTTTCTCCTAGCCTAAACCCCCACGCCATTCCATGGCTTCTCTTCCTAGCTAGCTACTTTGACAGGTACAACCCCCTTCTTGTATCCCTCTCTCTTCTAGTCCAACCCTCTTCTCTCTCAATATTTTTCCTCCTAGCCTAAAACCTCACGCTACGCTCCTATGCCTAGCTCCTAGTTCCTAGCTATCTCAGCATGGTACCAGAGCGGGTCCTTCTGTTCGGGCCTGCGCATCACTCTTCCGCAACACTCGCCCCTCACTCTCCCTCATGCCGTTTATGCGCCGCCGCCACGGCCATGTCGGGCTGCTGCGACGGTGTCGTCGTCCTGCCATGGCGGCTTCAACGCGCCAGCGCACGGACGGCACGGGCGGCAGCGGCCAGCGCCCAGCCTTAGTGCTGGCCAGCACACCCGCATGCAGCCAATGCGCCACACGGGGCGGCACGCTCCCTGGCTCCGCTGCTGAAGCCCCGCCCCCTTTCCCCTGCGTCCCCTCTTCCTCGCCGCAGCTGACGGCTGACTCGCGCGGGCCTTCCCACCGTCGCGGAGTCAGGCCACGCCGCCGAGTGTTGCGAGCTTCGCTGCTGTCGTCGAAGTCGCCGCCGCCGCAGCTGCCGTCATCGCCGCCGTTGCAGCCGCAGCCCTCGCTGCCGACGTCGTCGCCTCGCACGCCGAAGGGTTGACCATGCTGGAGAAGCCATCGCTGCTGCTGAGTATGGGGGTACTAGGCTTAGGGGGTGTGTGGCTTAGTGTGCTCAGTGCGTGGTGTGCTTTCTACTACCAAGCCTAGGGGGTGTGTTAAATTATATATATTATACATATATATAATTGTAGGCTTGGTAGGTGTTATTGGAACCTACTGTAGTGGGTACAACCTTCTTGTATCCCTCTCTCTCCTAGTCCAACCCTCTTCTCTCTCGCCTAAAACCTCACGCTATGCTCCTATGCCTAGCTCCTAGTTCCTAGCTATCTCAACATGGTATCAAAGCGATCTAGGGTTCAATTCCTGGTGTGCACGCTATCCCACTGGGGGGGGTGTGTCGTGGCACTGGGATAGCCCTGTCGAACCTCTTCTCTCTCAAGGGAGGGTACTAGGGAGGCTTTCCCTAGGGAATGTGGATACATGGGGCCTTAGAGCATGTTCCTACCAGCCTCTTCACAAGCAACCTCTTCTCAGACTCGTGTGCTACAGCGTCGCAAATTTTGACGCGAAATGTTTCAGTGCGATTCCGCGAAGTGCGAGGTGAGATTCGCCTTCCCGAGATTCAGGGGTGTGTTACAAAACCTCTTTTCAGACGAGCAGATTTTCAGACAAGCGCAAATCTGCACAGTAAATTTTCGACGCCAACTGGTTTTATGTGGTTGAGAGCGGTGGAACGCAAATATGAAACGGGAGTATTTCTAAAAGTGGTTCTGGGAACACGCTCTCAAGGTCACGCGGGAGTCTAGGAAGAGGTTGCCTGGGAAGAGGCTCGTAGGAACACACTCTTATGCGTATTCCTACAGCCTCTTCCCAGCCCAACCTCGTCCCAGACTCGCACGCTACAGTGTCGCGTAATTTTGACGCGAAACAGTTTAGTGCGGTTCCGTGTGCTGTGACGCGAGATTGGGATTATCGAGATTCAAGGTATGTTTTTAAATCTCGTTTCAGGCGCCAAATTTTCAGACGCGCGCGAATCTGTAAAGTGCGATTCTTGTTAGAACACTAGAATGACTAGAAACAAGGGTGAACAAGGGAAATATAGGGTTGGAGTTGTACTCTCTAAGAACATACACCTATCTAGACTATAACTTCTACATACTAACATATGTATAAGTTGACACACCCCCTCGGCTAGATAAGGGGTAGTGCTGAGCAAGAAAAACGCAGCTCAGGGTGGCACTACTAGTCCAACCTCTGAGGCAGGGGTCCGAAGACTAGTCAACAAACTCAACAAGAGCAAACCAGGGTGGCACTACTAGTCGGCCACTAGAACAGAAGCCACAAGGCCAGTCTGAAAGGTATAAATATAGAGGAGTACACAATCAAGGTCCTAGCAAGTGAGAGTCTACAAGAACTAGACCAAGCTGCAAACAGTGTCGTTGATGATCTTTTGGCACAAGCGCCTTAGTAAAGATATCAGCTGTGTTGGCACCGGAGGCCAAGTGTACTACGCAGGCCTAACGACGCTGCTGTAGCTCGTGCAGGAGGAAGTAACGCAGCTGGATGTGCTTCGCTCTGCCCTCAAGTCGAGGCTCCTGACACAGGAGGATCATGGCCCTGTTGTCAGCGTACAGAACCGGGGCAGAGCTAGGCCGCTCACCTGAGTCGGCGAGCAAGAAGGTCAGCCAGCGGAGCTCCTGTACCGCCATGGCACTGGCGTAGATCTCAGCCTCACAGCTAGATTGGGCAACAGACGAGGAGCGAGTGGACCTCCACGAAATGGCCCCTGAACCAAGGCTAAAGCAGTAGTCCTGGGAGGACCTGAGCGTCTCAGCGTCGTCTGCCCAAGAAGCATCAGTGTGCCTAATAAGGACCACTGGCCTGCGTCCTCCCACCACTAACCCCATGCCCGATGTACTTGTTAGATAACGCAAAACCCTCTTAGCAGCCGACCAGTGCGGTGGTCGGTGTCTACCTGTGGCCACAAAGCGAGTCATGATGCTGAGAGGGTATGCGAGATCTGGACGAGTGCAAGTCATCAGGTACGTGAGGCAACCCACCAGCTCTATGTAAGGACCACTGGGCTCTACTGACTCCTCAGGAATTGGAGCAGAGAGCCTGTGATCTACTGGCAAAGGTGTGGGCTGTGCAGAGGAGAACTAAAGACCGAACCTCTAAAGGACCTGGTGCACCAAGTGTGACTGTGTGAAAGTGATGGTGTGCGCTGCTCTGTCCCTAGGGATCTGCACGCCAAGGTAGCGGCACAGCTCTCCTAGGTCATTGCAGGTGTGTCTCCTCAGCAGCTCGGCCTTCACAGAGGCCAGTACATATAAATATATGTATAAGTTGACACACCCCCTAGGCTAGATAAGGGCAGTGCTGAGCAAGAAACACGCAACTCAGGGTGGCACTACTAGTCCGACCTCTGAGGTAGGGGTCCGAAGACCAGACAACAAGAATACAAACTCAACAAGAGCAAACCAGGGCGGCACTACTAGTCCGGCCACTAGAACAAAAGCCACAAGGCCAGCCAAGAAGGTATATATATAGAGGAGTACACAATCAAGGTCCTAGCAAGTGAGGAGCTACAGGAACTAAACCAAGCTGCAAACAATGCCGCTGATGATCTTTAGGCGCAAGCGCCTTAGTAAAGATACCAGATGTGTTGGCACCGAAGGCCAAGTGTACTACGCGGGCCTGGCGGCGATGCTGTAGCTCGTGCAGGAGGAAGTACCGCAGCTGGATGTGCTTCGCTCTGCCCTCAAGTCGAGGCTCCTGACACAGGAGGATCATGGCCCTGTTGTTAGCGTACAGAACTGGGGCAGAGCTAGGCCGCTCACCTAAGTCGGTGAGCAAGAAGGTTAACCAGCGGAGCTCCTGTGCCGCCATGGTACCGGCATAGACCTCAGCCTCACAGCTAGACTGTGCAACAGACGAGGAGCAAGTGGACCTCCACGAGACGGCACCTGAACCAAGGCTAAAGCAGTAGCCCTGGGAGGACCTGAGGGTTTCAGCGTCGTCTGCCCAAGAAGCGTCTGTGTGCCCGGCAAGGACCACTGGCCTGCATCCTCCCAGCACTAACCCCATGCCCGATGTACTTGCTAGATAACGCAAAACCCTCTTAGCGGCCGACCAGTGCTGTGGTCGGTGTCTGCCTGTGGCCACAAAGCGTGGCAGGATGCTGAGAGGGTATGCGAGACCTGGACGAGTGCAAGTCAT